GGCTAAATCCTGCAGCCGGGGCTTTTATACCCAGGAGGGCGGGGTGACTTGGCAGGACCCACACTGCCCTTCATTTAGGCAGCCTGCGCCCTGGATGCCTGGGCTCAGTGCCTGCTTGGCTGGTGACGGCTGGGGAGGGAAGAGAGACAGTGTCCTCTGTCCCCTGCCAGCAGCCCACTGGCTTTCCTAAGCTCACGTGACCTCACGGAGGCGTTGGTGAGCACCATCACCTGCCCGCACCTCTGCTTGTGGGCTGGGCAGGGCAGCGGGGCCCACCTGTCTCCAGCAGAGAGCTGCTGTTTACTCAGGGCTTGGCCAGCCTGCCACCCCTGGGCCGCTTTGTCAGTGCCCAAGGCTGACGGGCACTTGTCCGGCAGGTGCAGTGCAGGGGTCGGAGGGAAGACTTTCAGAGGATGCCCCTGCCCTCTGTGGTCCGTGGTGGCCGGGGCCAGACGGGATGACTGGGCAGCTCCAACAGCCACTTTCATTGTTTGAAGTTTGCTGTGGGGGTGGGGCGTGCAGGCATTTTTCTCTCTGCCGCCTCAGTTTGTGCTCAAGTCCTGGCCCCCAGACCCGGGTGTGCAGCCTGCCCCCTCCGCTCGATCCAGGGGCTCTCCGGTTGTCCTTGCGTTTCCATGGTCGCCTGGTGGCTGGGCTACAGCCTGGCCCCACAGGGTCTCTAGGCCTGCTGCCCAGCGGTCTCCCTGACTTCTGGGCCTGGTACGGGCGTGGTGTGAGTCTGCGAGGTGTGCCGGGCGAGCCCCCACGTCTGCATCGCTGTCTCGCCCAGCAGACCTGGCTGCTCAGACCCGGGGCCAAGGTGAGCTTGGGGGGCCTGGCAGCACCACCCCCTCACCTGACCACAGGCTGTGCCTCCTTGTGGGCGTGCGCTGGCTGGGCTGCGGGGAGGGGCGGGCGGGGGCTCCGTCTCTCTGAGCCCCCTGGCCGGGCTGCGGGGACAAGGCCCCCAGGGCCGCTCTTCCCTGCTGCCTGGGACAGCTGAGCTGCAGCCAGGTGTGGGGCCGGAGCAGAGGCCTCCGTGTGGCCTGAGCCGGTCTCCGTCCGGCCAGCTCCCTGTCCTGTGAACGGGGCGCCGAGGTGCGAGCGGGCAGACACCGGGAAGGCCGGCAGTGCCAGGGGAGGGCAGTTCTGTGGACGCGCACACTCCACTCCTGGGCGCGGTGCCCCTGCGCTGCGTCGCCCTGGGCAGCGGAGGCGGATGGGTGGGCAGGGTGCTGGGTTCCGGGTGCCGGTGCCTTCCCTGTCCTGTCCTGTCCTGTCCTGTCCTGTCCCCTTGCGCACTCAGGGCTCCCAGCCCAGTGAGTTCCGGGAGCAGGTGAAGGCTCCTTCCACCCAGCGTGGGACGCGCCAGGTTTGGGTCCCGTGGCCAGGCCCACACTGAGGCTGTTCTTGTGGTCACCCTGGTGGCAAGGCTTCAGTGGACCTGGCCCGCAGGGGTGGCCTGTCAGTCCCTGCGCCAGTGGCTCCAAAGTCAGCCGTCCCCACTGCTCAGACCCTTCCCCGTCGGTCTCCTTGGAGCACACCCCGAGAGCGCCTCCCCTGCGCCCCCTCTTATCTGTGGACAAGGATCTGAGGAGCAGCTGCAGAGGACCACAGGGCAGCCTTCACCTGAGCCGAGGCTGTCAGGGCGACAGCCGTGCCGAGGAAGGCTGTCCCCAGGGTTGTCTGGCAGCCGCGGGGAGCTCCCGGGAGACAGCTCTGCAGCAGGTCCGGGGAAGTCGGACGGACAGTGCCCAGTCCCCACACATCCCCGGGACTGCCACGGCTGCTGGGGTGCGGCCACAGACCAGGGGATGGCCTGCATTCCGACGTTCCTCCCTGGCCCTGGTGATGGTGAGGCGTGTGCCAGGCTGCGCACCAGGCGTGGAGCAAGCGCCGCAGCGGGGGTCAGCCGTGAGCAGAGCCTGGGAGGACAGGAGCCCACCTGGAGGAGGAGCAGGAGCGGGAGGGCCTGGGCTGGGGCGGTGGGGGAGGGAGGGCCGGGAGGAAGGAGCACAGCTGCCCAGCAGCTGCACACACCCCTGCGCACACTCACACCCTCACGCAGACTCACGCTCAGGCTGGACTCGGTCTGCTCGTGTCCCGTAGGGAGTTCACCTCTGTGCTCGTGGGCATGATGTTCTGTAGCTTTCTTGTCTGGTGGTGGCCTTGCCTCGGGCTCATTGGATGAGTTGGGTGGTGGCCCCTCTGCTCTCTGGGAGCTGGTGTCCATTCTTCATAGGGCTGGGGGGTCGCCCATGCGGCACCTGGGCCTAACGTGTCCTTGTGGACAAGTTCTGTAAGTTCAACTTTTTAATCCCTCCTTGTGTTGGTTTTGGTGACCTGTGTCTGTGCAGGAGTCTGCTGACCCTCATGCTCTGTTGGCATGAAGTGGTTCCTGGTCGGCCCTTGTCCCTCCTGTGTCTGGGGGTCTGGAGCTGTGTCTCCATGTCCGACTCTGGTGCATCTCCTCCTTTTCTGTCAGTCTGATTGATCAGTTTTCTTAAACTTTTCAAAAATAACTTTGTATTTAATTTTCCATTTCCTCTGTCATGAGTTTTTTAAAATGCGTTTTTATTGTTTTGTTTTGTTTTTAGAGAGAAAGAGAGAGAGAGAGAGAGAGAAACATCAACGTGAGAGGGGAACATCGATCAGCTGCCTCCTGCGTGCCCCGTGCTGGGGGTCAAACCCACAACCTGGGTATGTGTCCGGACTGGGAATCGAACCTGCAGTTTTGGGGCACAGGACCATGCTCCCACCGAGCCACCTGGCCGGGGCTTCTACACATGTTATGTTTTTGTTGCAACCTTTTCTTTGCGTTGTTTAATCTGCTGTTAAGTCTGTCCCTTAAAATCTCACTCCAGATACCTTCAGCTCTAGGGATGTGTTTGTATTTTTTGGGCTTTCTACATCTTTTGAGAACTGCCGTTGCATTCATTGTGCTCATCCTTTCTCTGAACCCCCAGCCCTCGAGCAGGGCCATCCATGTCTGCGGTCGAAGTCTCCGCTGCCTCTGCTTCCCCGGTCGTGTGCCACGCCCTTCTGCCGCCTCCTCCCCTGACGGGCGCTCCTCCCGTTAGCTGTGGCGGTGGCAGCGCTGTCGGAGGTCTGGGCTGGGTTGTCCTCCGCTGAGGAGCCTGTGGCTGTCCCAGCGGGCAGTTCATTTGCTGTTGGGTCAGCAGAAGCCTTGGGAGGCTCGGGGAAGCTTTGTCAGGGCCGGTCTAGAGCAGCCCCCCCCCCCCCCCCCCCCCGCTGCCGCGGCCCCGCTCCCCTGCACGGTGCTCTGGAGCCCTCAGGCTGCTGCCCTTGCAGCCTCCGGAAGGCCCCTGGAGCTCACAGCTCCTTGGCGTGCCGTGTGCCAGGCCCTGCAGGCCCTCAGCTGAGGGGTGGCAGAGGCTCAGGCGGCTCTGCCGAACTCCTGGGCTCTTTCTGCAGGCAGCCCTGTCCGGTCAGCGGCCCCCATGCGCCCTTCTGCAGCCCACGGCATCCTTGCCTCCGTGCCGACCTCCGGCAGGCAGCTGGCTGCTGCTCACCGTGCGCCCTTCCTGCCTGCGGCTGCCCGTGCCAACGTGTCGGCCAGCGGCTCAGCCAGGCACTTGGTATCTGTCGCCCAGTCTGCCGTTGGCGGTGGTGGCGGTCCAGGCCCGTGTCACTGGTGTGTTCCCCACGTGTCGGCTTTGAGCTTCTGTGGCCCGCCCGTCACCCGGGCTCACCTCTCCAGGTCCCGGCGGTCTCTCCTCTCCTCCCGTCTCTCTAGGTCACTGTCTGCGTGTTCCGACGCCTGGGGCAGGCTGCAGTCGAGCCAGGGAGAGACCAGAGGGAGCATTGGGAGGCACCGGCGTGCGGCCCGATCCGCACGCAGACGTCCGTGTCACCAGATTAAAGTGTGCAGGGCGTTTACATGCACACGCGTGTCCGTGCTGTCAGCTGAGAGGGCAGCGGCAGCATGTGTGCCTGGCGCGTCCTGGGCTCAGTGTGCCCCTAGGAGGGGCCGGGGGAAGTGTCTGGCTCTCGGCAGGGCAGCTGAGCCGGGGCACCTCCCAGTGCGCAGTCATTCCCGCGCCTCGGCTCCGTGGCCGTCCCACTGGCGCGGATCCTGCCCGCCGGGTGGCCATGGGGACGCTGCCCTGGTCCTCGCGGGCAGCCGGCGCCTGTTGTTGGCCTCCCAGGGCAGAGGCAGCCTTCCCATTGGCTGTGGAGCTGCCACCTGGTTGGAGGGGCCCTCAGTGGGCTGTGGCCTTGAGGGTGGTGGGCAGGGCTGAGGTGGGCGGGGATGTGAGCAGAGGAGCTTGGCAGACCCCTGGCCCTACCCCTTGCAAAGTGGGGCCTCCGCTGTGTGCTGACTGCGCCGTCTCTGTCCCTGTGGTCAGACCCAGTGTTCCAGCACTTCGTGCCCTCCTGTCCGCAGCCAGCCAGCCCTACAGAGAATGCCCCACAGGTGCTGGAGCCCCCGGAGATGCCCAGGGCTCTGCGCCCTTGGCTGCGGGGCAGCCTCTGCGCGGCCAGCGTGCGCGGTGTCCGGATGCCCCAGGCTGCCGGTCTTGTCTTTCCAAGGCTGTCTGCCTGGGGCATGCACAGGCCAGCTCCACCCTGCAGGTGGCAGCCTGTGTCCGCAGCCCCCTGGGTGCCCCAGGTTTCTTGTCTCACGGGGCTGGGATCAGGCACAGACTCCTGGGCAGACTGCGTGCTCTCAGAGGGGCTCTGCCAGCTGTGTCAGGCCTGGCCTCGAGGTGCCACCCAGCCGCGCCGATGGGTCCTTCCCTGGGGCTCTGCCCTCCCCACACAGCACCGCCTGCAAGGCGCCACTTTGAAAGTTGACTGAGACACGCCCTCCTCTAACCAGGCCGGCGGCCTTGGCCCTGAACGGAGCAGCGCTGTGCCTGCCAGGCCAGGCTCCTCCCCTGCTGTCCCATTGGCTGCTGGCGCCTGCTCCAGGCGGGCTGCTGGGAGGGAGGGAGCCGCATTGGTGCCGGGCTCCCACTCGCTCTGCACCTCTGCTCCCCAGCATGCTGGGCGCTCACGGCAGCCTCCCTGCAGACCGAGCTCTGCTCAGCCAGGCCCCCAAGACTGGACTCAGCTGCAAAATGGTGCTTCAGGCAGTTGGCAAAGTGCTCAGGTGAACAAAGGGGCACGGTGGGGGTCTTCCGCGTCCCCCAGGAGCTGGTGCGGCTGGGCAGAGGCTGTGAGCAGGACTGGGCAGGAACTTTGTTTGCAGGGAGGTTCCCCTGAACCCCTGCACTCCCTGCTGCTTAGGGAAGGGAGTGTGCCACCCAGGGAGGGGCCTGGCTGCCTCTGGGAGGGGAGAGGGCCCCACGGGTGAGTCCTGGACACGGCAGCCCAGCCCTGCCCCTGAGCCCACCGGACAGGCCCTGCACCTCAGGTCTGCCTGTCGTCTCCCTGCGGGTGGCCGGAGCCTGCGCAACAGTGGCCTGTGCGGGAACCGACCTAGGCACGGCCGGCTGATGCTGCAGGGCTTCCAACCAGAAGGGCCTTTGCTCCTTGGCACCTCTCCCTTCTCTGACCCGCTGCCATGGAGCCCAGTGCCCACACACTGGGCCGGCCACTCTGGCCCTCTGTGCGGTGGCGGTGGTGGTGGCGGTGGCGGTGCTGGGCGAGCACCAGCCGCGTGTGCCTGCGGCCCGGCCGCCCCCGTCTGAGGGTCTGTTAGCTCATCAGGTTCCCTCCAGCGGGGTCCTGGGGGTCCTGAGTGGAAAGTGAAAGTGTCTCTTGCTTTTCCGGGCCCTGGGGAGGGTCTAAGGCGAGGCGGGGCCCGAGGCGGTGCTCTCGATGACTAATGAGGCCCAGCGGGCTGTGTCTGTGCCTCCCTCTGCCTCTGGGCACCCTGGTCCCGCTCTTCTCTGCCGCAGGGTTTTTCCACACAGCAGGTCAGCTGGGTGCCCAGAGGGGCTCCCGATGAGTTACAGGTGGAAACCAGAGCCTGCCCGACAGCTTCCAGGCCTGTGCTCTCGTCCTGTCACGTGAGACTCGGAAACGGGGGCAAGGTGGCGGTCCTCCTCAAGTCATTGTTCAGATCAGGAAGGTGACCGTCGTGGACAGTGAAGGCCAGCATGTGTGCACGCCTGTGTGCGCGATGCACAGCGCTGAGCTGAAACAGGCCCCGCCGAGGGCCGAGGGCAGAACCCAGCCCCTGAGCTGTGGCTGGGACTGCGGAGGACCCGGCGAGCTCTGCGGGAGGCCGAGACCAGGCCATTCCCACGGGGCCTGGGGAGACTGCAGGAGCAGTGGCCGCCCAAGCCCGTGTCAGTGGAGGGGCTGGTTCCGCAGCTCGAGAGTGAGTGAGGGACCCGTGATCCAGCACAGCTCGGGGTCAGCATGCTGGCTGCTCCTGACCTGCCTTCCTCTGGGTCGTGCAGGCCGTCTGCTCCCAGTGGGACATGCTTGTGAAAGCCGCTTTGTGTGGGTGCGGCCAGCCCAGTGCAGGGCAGTCAGATCGAGAGCAGCAGTCTGGCCAGTAGTAGCCTGTGGGGGTCTGACAGGGACCGATGGTCCTGGGGCATCTTCCCAAGCTTTGGGCCGGCGAGGGGTGCAGTGGCCACGGCCAGTCGGGACCTGGAGGCAGGCTAGGCCGGGACCCTCACGTCAGAGGACAGTCGGGACTTGGAGGCAGGCTAGGCCGGGACCTCACGTCAGAGGACGGTCGGGACCTGGAGGCAGGCTAGGCCGGGACCTCACGTCAGAGGACGGTCGGGACCTGGAGGCAGGCTAGGCCGGGACCTCACGTCAGAGGACGGTCGGGACCTGGAGGCAGGCTAGGCCGGGACCTCACGTCAGAGGACGGTCGGGACCTGGAGGCAGGCTAGGCCGGGACCTCACGTCAGAGGACGGTCGGGACCTGGAGGCAGGCTAGGCCGGGACCTCACGTCAGAGGACGGTCGGGACTTGGAGGCAGGCTAGGCCGGGACCCTCACGTCAGAGGACAGTCGGGACTTGGAGGCAGGCTAGGCCGGGACCTCACGTCAGAGGACGGTCGGGACCTGGAGGCAGGCTAGGCCGGGACCTCACGTCAGAGGACGGTCGGGACCTGGAGGCAGGCTAGGCCGGGACCTCACGTCAGAGGACAGTCGGGACCTGGAGGCAGGCTAGGCCGGGACCTCACGTCAGAGGACAGTTTCAGGCCCTGCGTCAAACTCGGGTTCGGGTTGGTGGCGAGCCTCAGGTCCAGCCCTGGGGATGAGCTGTGTGTGGGAAGTGGGGACCCAGTGCCAGTGGCCCCTGCACATCCGTGCCTGGCCATCGGGGTGACAGCTGGCCCACTGCCTCGGCCTTGGCGGGAGGCCGGGAGGAGCCTGGCTGTGCTGCCACCTGGGAGCAGGGGCCGTGCAGAGGCTCGGGCCGCTCTCGCGCCACCTTCCTCCCTGCCCCCCCTCCACCCCCAGGCAGTTCTCGCTCAGGCCAAGGCCTAGGACCTGGGCTTTTGAGCCTGTGACCCTGGCCTGAAGCAGCCTGGAGTGAGGTGAGGTGGCATAGACTCGGGGTGGTGCCCTGCGGGTCCCGTCTTCTCAGTCCCCCGCCCTCTCTGTGGAGCGGTGTCTGTGGGGCCTCCCGCAGTCGTGAGCACGGAGTCCACGGCTCACTGCCCACAGGTTCCTAGGACCTGCTCCCTGACCCCAGACTCTCTCCTCCCCGCCCCATGTCCTGTGAGGCCCTCTGCAGACAGGCCACCTCTGCCCTCCCTGCTTCCAGATCTGCCCGCGCCCTCTCCTGGCGATGGCCCGAGCTTTCCCAGCACCTGTGTGGGATCGAGTGAGGGGGGGCACCCAGCGACACACAGTGGGCTGAGGGGGCCCTTAGGGAAAGGGCTGCACCTGCTCTGTGCCCGCGCCCAGTATGAGATTTCAAAGCAGGGTGGGATCAGGCCAGCCGGGTGCCTGGAGCCACAGTCCATGGGCTCTGTGCTCCTTCAGCCCCTGCCCACCACGGTGCTCGGTGCCAGAGGGCGGGGATCTGCAGTGTGGCCGTCTTCCCGCCGCGGAGGAGCCGGACTCCTTCCTTGTAGCTGATGGTGAGCAGCGCCCACGACACCTCTGTGCGGGCGCAGCAGGCCTCACTCAGCACGGATGGGCACCCCGAGCGGCGCAGGGCCTTCCTGTGAGGCTGGGCCCTGCCTGGGTAGGCTTGTGGGCAGGAAGCGGGCAGGCAGGTGGGACGCCCCACCATGCGGCCACTGCTGCCGGGCACCCACGGGCGAGTGCTCCTCATGGGTCACCAGGTGACACGGCTCCTCCGTGGCCGCTCGCCGTGCCACCCCTGTGGCATCAGACCCGCCAGGCCCGCGAGCGGCCGGCCCAGCCGTGGGGTCGGCAGTTGCACTGAGCACAGGAGGACGTCGGAGCACCTGGCCCCGGGGAGCGTCCTGCAGAGTCCCTCCTGCCTGGCTGAAGGCAGCGGTGACTTTCTCTCAGGGTGGAACGTCGCTCAGGAGCAGAGACGCAGGTCAGGAGAAGGGCTGTGGGCAGGGGACGTCATAGCCTGCCCGCCCACCCCACTCCAAGTGACATCTCGGGGTGTCAGCAGAGCCCCTGGATGCCCTCCATCCATCCTGGGGCCTGGTCTCCTCTGTGTGCTCTAACCAGGGGTGGGCCTTCCTGTCCGGGCCTGGGGCTTCGAGTTGTGTCCTAGCTGCCCCTGGGGACCCAAAGTGCTCACTGTGTGCGGCACCCATGCCTGTGCTCCAGCTCAGCCCACCGGCAGGGTCGGGACCCCGGGGTCAGGGTCTGCCCCGCCCGTCCTGAGAACACGGGCCCTGCCTGGCACTGGCCACTCCCAGCACTGCCCCCAGAGGCCCAGCACACGTCGCCTTTTAAGGCAAAGATCTCCTGTGAGAAGTCGAAGGGAAAACATTTCTCTGGCATTAAGGGAACATTTTTCCTTCCTGTTTCCTCTTAAATAAACCACCAGCAACTTTTCAAAACAGAACAAAAAGGGCAGGGTCAGGGAGCTGCAGAGACCTTTCACCCCCCCCCCCCATGTGGGCCGCACCAGGGCTGCGGGAGAGGGCCGAAGAGCCTTCAGGACAGCAGTGTGCAGCTCGGCCAGTGCTGCGTTCTTACTGGGGCAGTGGGGTCAGCAACAGAGGCCACAAGGGAGCAGGTCTGAGGGTCCCGGGAGCGGGCTGCTGCGGAAGCCAGCGCCCCGACCACGGCCCTCCTGGGTTGCAGGAGGTGGGGCTGAGGATGGCAGTCAGGGGACCCGTGGCCACCCCAGCGGTCTGCCCAGGCTCCAGAATGTGACAGACACAGCGACCTGTGTCAGGTTCAGCCTGGGCTGGGGTCTCCAGCCGAGACCCTGGGGCCTGGCTGTGCAGCCGTCCTTCCTGGGGACGGGCCATCTCCTTGGCTGCGGGGACAGTGGCCCCTCAGGGTGCTGGTCTGTGGTGTTCAGCTACTGACGTTCACTGTTCCAATGGAACAGAGGCATTTTAGAGATATGTGCTCACTCGTGTGAAAATGGCCACACAAGACTGTTCTGTGTTAAATGATAGCACATTCTTGTGGGAAAGAACTATTTTCCTAAGCAAGAAAAACCTCAGTGAGAACTGGCCACTTCTGCGGATTTGTGGTGTCTGGCTGGCCCCTCCTCCTCCCTGGAGCCCTGCGCTGTCACTCGGGGAGGGCACAGGCCGAGGACAGGTGTGCCACCGCGAGCCTGCAGCGTGACGGCAGAGCCGAGCATTGGCAGCCAGCAGGCGTCGATGAGGGGCCGTCGGGACAGTGTGCAGGGTGCCCACCTGCTTGTGAGCCTGTCCAGGGCTCAGGTGAGCGGCGCGTTCCTGTGCCCTGCTTGTGGGTCCTGCCCTGGGAGCCTAGGCCCTAGGCTCAGGCCAGGCTGGCTGCCGGGCCGCGGCGTCACACAGGGGTGAGCTGAGTTCCAGGCTGGGCCCCACGACATCAGGCGGCCAGCTCGTCTCTTTGCCCCCTCTTCCCTACGGTGGCAGGATGGCTGTGCCGGCCAGATGAAGGCACAGCACGCGGTGCCCAGTGGGAGCAGACTGTCCCAGGCACCTCCTGGAGACCTCCTCGGGGTCCCGCTGGGCTGGCGGGGCGGCCCTTGTCTCCTGGGCCGGCAGGGGGATCCACGCCTGCCCTGCCCTGCGGTGACTGCTCCCTTCTCCCGCAGGAAGTCCAAAGCGAAGCCCAACGGGAAGAAGCCGGCAGCGGAGGAGAAGAAGGCGTACCTGGAGCCCGAGCACGCCAAGTCCAGGATCACCGACTGCGAGTTCAAGGAGCTGGTGGCGCTGCCCCGGGAGATCGACCTCAATGAGTGGCTGGCCAGCAACAGTGCGTGGGGACGGCAGTGGGCGGGGGCCTGGGGCCACAGTTGGCAGGGAGGCAGGGAAGGCAGCCACCCTCCAGGTCCTCGGGGACCCCAGAGCTCCGTCCGGAGAGGCTGTGTGCCCACGAGGCCCGGCTGTCGCTCCCCCAGCTGGCCCACCGCGCTGCAGCACGCAGTGGGGGCTCGTGCCGGTGGGAACTGGCTGCTCTGTGGACGGGGTGGGCTGGAGTGACCGGCTCCAGTCAGTGCCCAGGTGGCGGGCTGTGTGGCCCTCACTGGGATGGGATGTTTGTCCACCGTTTGTGCAGGGACTTGGTCTCGATGGCGCTGCCCCGCTGCCCAGGCGTGTGTCTGTCTGTCTGGTGGGGACCGGTGGCCGCCCTTGAGGCCGGTGCTCCACGCCAGGGCCGCGGTCTCGGTCTGTGGGAAGTGCCAGCTGCCCCGCCCCAGTGGAGCCCTGCCTGGCAGCGCCCGGGCCGAGGGCAGCGCTCACGCCCACTCTCCTCCCGCAGCCACCACGTTCTTCCACCACGTCAACCTGCAGTACAGCACCGTCTCGGAGTTCTGCACGGGGGAGGCCTGCCAGACCATGGCCGTGTGCAACACGTGAGTCCCCACCCGGCCCTCCCCTGCGCAGAGGGCTCCCCGCCTCCTCAGGGCCCTGCTTTGCGGGAGGGAGGCCCCGGCGGGCCAGGTGCTGCGCTCTCCTCCAGAAGCGTATGCATGCCCCTGCCAGCTCCGCCCAGCTCCTGGGTGTGTGGTCGGAGAGCCTCGCAGTGAGGGATTGGGGCAGCAGTGAGGGATTGGGGCAGCAGTGAGGGATTGGGCACGTGCCCACAGGAGGCTGGGCCGAGGAGGAGGCCAGGAGCCTGTCGGCCGTCCCTGTGCTCACAGACCTGCTGGCCAGCTCCCTAGGCCCCAGCTCAGGCGGGTCACGAGGGAGCAGGTGCCCACCACAGTGCTCGTGCTTGTCCCCTGGGGAGGAGCCAGGGTGGCCGAGGTGTCCCAGGTGTCCCCAGCTGGCCACCGGGAGGCCCAGCCAAGGACGGGGCAGGCAGAGTGACACCAAGTGGGAAGAGCAGCCCCGCAAAGCACGCGTGCGGCTGGCGCCGGGGGTGGGGCGGCGCTTCAGGCTGCGTGTGCAGCAGACTCAGGAGGGTGCTCGCCGCTCTGCACCTGGCCAGGCGGCGTCCAGGTTGCCCGGCCTCACCCACGGCCCCGACACATCCCTTCGTCACACGTGTTTGCCCAGAGGCCCCGTGGAAGAGCCCGGGCTCGGTGTCAGGCTGCCCGGCCGGGTGTGGGCTCTGCTCGTGCAGCTGGGAGCCCGGGACCTGCGCCTTCTGCTGCCGTCCCTCCCGTGACCTGCTTCACGGGCGCTCAGGGCTACCGCACTGCATACGCGGCGTCTCCTCGGGTCATTGGAGTTCGAGGGACGGAAACTCACTTGTCATTTAGAGAGAGGGCTGCTTGTCTGAGGCCGTCGCCACCCTGCCGGTGTCCCAGCCGGAGCGGGGAGGGTGTGCTGAGAACATCGTCGGCCAGGGCGCAGGCAGGAATCACCAGATGATGCACAAATAAGTGGGCACCAAAAGTCAGTGTCTCTTTCTTTCTCCCTTGCTCTAAAATCCAATAAATAAAATGAAACTCTGCTATTTCCATTGGCTCCCAAATAGCAGGCCACCCAGGTGTGAGCCTGGGGAAGGACTTGGCACAGGTGAGCGCCCTGGGGCGCCGCCGCCGAGGAGGTGAGGGCGCCGTGCTCTGGAGCCCGAGCCCTGTAGGCTGTGCAGCCGCAGACAGGAGCCCAGCCACGCTGAGAAGGAACCCTAGCGGAGCGGTCCTGCCCGTGTGCGCGACCTGTGCAGCCACGGTCCAGGTGCTGTGGTGCACTGGGGAACAGACGGCCCTCAGGACGGGCAGAAGCAGCCGTGGACCCACAGACGAGGCCTCGATGTTGGACGGACACAGGAGAGTCCGCGGAGAGGAGGCAGCCTTTCCAGCCAGCACTGCTGGAGAAGAGGCCGTCTGTGCAGGCAGGAGCCCGAAGCCCGAGAGCCTCCGCGTGCGCTGCAGTGGGCTCCGCCTCCGTGGGGAGCGGCCGGCCTGCGGGAGGAGACGGGCCATTCCTGACAGCGCAGCGCAGCGCGGGACTTCACGGCACTCAGGACGGTGCTCAGAAGGAGTCACTGCAGACTCACACTTGAGGGAGGACCAGCTCCCAGAGTGAGGGAGGGTCCCAGACCCCGTTAGCAGGGAGGCGGACCGGTCACAGACGGGCAGAGGACTCGGACAGGTCACTGGGGACAAGGGCAGAGGAGCCCTGCAGGCTCCGCGCCGTGAGCGGGGAGAGAAGTGGGCACGTGCTGGATGCTGTCGGGACGCCGGCCGGGCGCGGGCAAGGACACGGAGCTGTGGGTGCCGGTGGGCATGTGCTGGGTGCTGTCAGGACGCTGGCCGGGCGCGGGCAAGGACACGGAGCTGTGGGTGCCGGGGGGCCAGCCCTGCAGGGCGGCGTGGCCGTCCCCGTGAAGGGAAGCACACCCTCCGTGCACACACCTCACTCCTGGGCGCCCCCCCAGAGTGGGGACTGCTCACTCGGAGGCCTGCCCAGGAGGGCTTGTGACAGCCTGACCCACACTCGCCCCACCAGGAGCAGCCCATGTCCTTCAGCAGCTGCCTGGCCGGACGGGTGTGTCCAGGCGGGAGGTGGTCAGCGATGAGTGGGAGGACCCAGGTCCCTGAACCATGCCTGGCCGGACAGCCGCGGCATCCCTAAGGGCCAGCATGGGTGCAGGGCTGAGCGGCGGGGCCAGCCGGAGGCCAGGGCTGGCCTGTGGGGCTGTGGCCAGCGGCCTGCAGGGCCCTGGAAGCAGGGGCAGGAGCCGCCGGGAGAGCAGCATCCACCTTCCCGCAGGGGCACCGTGGTCCCTGGGAGCTGCCCTCTCGGGCCTCTCGGTGCGGGAGCGCGTGTCCCAGTTTGCAGCCACACTTGTGTTCTGAGACTGACCCCCTGTCCAGGGGCACCCTGCGTCCACTCACGGAGCAGAAAACGTGTCCCTGACCCTGCCCAGGGTGCTGGCCCTGTCTTTACGGACTTCCTTCCTGAAGTCCACCTGGCATGGGGCCCCATGACCCTCTGCGAGGGGAGAGGCCCCTGGAGAGGCTGCTTCTCGTGGGGGCAGGGCTGCCGCTGAGGCTGAGCAGGCCCCATGGTGCCTTGCGAGAGGCAGGAAAGCCGCCTCTCTCGCCGGCACGGGGACCCCGTTTCCGCAGAGCAGCGGGTTTGAGCCGGGGCGCCCGCCACAAACATGTCTAGCGCCGCCCTGCCTGTCTGGTCAGGGGCACTCACCGCTTTCTGAGACTGTCGAGTACGAAGCGGCAGCGGCCCTGCCGGCTGGCTCAGTGGTGGAGCGTGGACCCTGCACCAGGAGGTCGCCGGTTCCATTCTGGTCAGGGCACATGCCCAGTGGGGGGCGTGCAGGAGGCAACCAATCAACGTTCTCTCTCATCCATGTTTCTCTATCTCTCCCTTCTTCTCTAAAATCAATAAAGGGGGAAATTTTTTTTTTAAAAGTGACAACAGTCAACACCGTAATAAGCGTCCCGTGTGAATGAATCGAATCATACCTATTTCTGGTCAGCTCAGCACAGACTGGTCTCCGGCGAGCTGCAGGGTTCCGTGCCTGCTTGTTGCCTGCCTGGGGGAGGCTGGGGAAGGCTGGAGCCGCCGCCCTGAGAGCCAGGAGCCCAGCAGCAGGGACAGGCGGCGCCTCTGCCCGCTCGGTGGCAGGTGCTCAGGCAGCGCCCTCTCCTGGGCGCAGAGCGTCCTCAGCTGGGGGCAGAGGCCTGTGCGCCCGCCACACCTCCGGATGGCCGCAGGCCCCTCCCCCGACCAGGGAGGCTGTGTGGCTGGGGCGGTGCTGTGACCGGCTTCTCTGTCCCCACAGACAGTACTACTGGTATGACGAGCGGGGGAAGAAGGTCAAGTGCACGGCCCCCCAGTACGTGGACTTTGTCATGAGCTCTGTGCAGAAGCTGGTGACGGACGAGGACGTGTTTCCCACGAGATACGGTAGGCCCCGCAGCGGTGCCCGGTCAGCCAGCCCGGTCAGCACACGGTCCGCTCTAGGCTCTGGCGCTGCGGGCCCGGGCGATCCCGGGTTTCCCGAGGGCCTCCCCGTGGTCCAGGCCACGCGCAGGGAAGCAGGCAGACCCAGGGTCCAGCCCAGGCCTGGGCGGCACGTGTTGGGTCTTGGGCCCCGGGAGGTGCAGCTCTCGGGGGCCGGGCACAGGACAAGTCAAGAGCGCGTGCTGGCCCCTCAGTGAGGCTGCAGGGCGGGGTCCTGCCTGCCGGTGACGCGCCCTGTCCGCAGGCCGCGAGTTCCCCAGCTCCTTCGAGGCGCTGGTGAAGAAGATCTGCAGGTACCTGTTCCACGTGCTGGCCCACATCTACTCGTCCCACTTCAAGGAGACCCTGGCCCTCGAGCTGCACGGACACTTGAACACGCTGTACGTCCACTTCATCCTCTTCGCCAGGGAGTTCAACCTGCTGGACCCCAAAGAGACCGCCGTCATGGACGACCTCACGGAGGTGCTCTGCAGCAGCGGGGGCCGCGGCGGGGGCGGGGACGGGGCCAGCGGCGGGGGCGCGGGGGCACAGAACCACGTCAAGGAGAGGTGAGCGCACCGGACCGGCTGCACGTGTGCAGAGACGGCGCGTGTGTCTGTGCCCGCCTGTGTGCTCACGTGCCGGGCACGCTCGGCGGGAGTCCGCGGTGCCGCCTGGCCAGGCTGCGCAGAGTGGGTCCCGGAGCCGGCGCTGCCCGCTGCCCGCTGCCCTCGCCACTTCCCTGCTGGATGGACGAGTGCGCCGTGGGCTGCCCTCCGCCGCCGCCTGCCCAGCTCTGCCCTTCCCTCTGCGGCCTCCTTGCCTTGGTCTTTGTGTGCCGGGCCCCTCCCGGGCGCTGCCATCTGAGAGAAGTCCTGAGCCAGGCGGGCTCCTTCCTGGCCTGGGGCGCAGGCTCGGGCTCCTGGGCTTCGTTGTGTCAGGGCTGGGTTATTCCGGATTCCTCACGTCCCTCCTCTCCCGGGCCTCTGCTGTCTGTCAGGGGCTTGGCGTGGGGGTGGGGGAGGCCAGTGGGCTCGGTAGGGGCCCTGAGCCCCTTCCCCCACCCCTGCCGCCAGGAGGCCCTGGAGTAGCTGGGCCCAGGCCCAGCCCCTGGGCAGCAGCCTGTGTGGAGTGGCTGTGGGCGGAGGCAGGGCCCTCTCGCTCTGCTCCTCCGTTCAGTTCGGTCGAATAAAAAGAATTCTCTCAGGTCAGCGCCTGTGTGTCCTCAGCGTCTCCGTGACTGTGTGAAGGGGCCTGGGTCTGCAGCCATGGCCCGTCCCCTCTCTGTGGCCTCCCGCCCACCGTGGTCCCTGCGCACCCGGGGTCTGCCTCCTGCGGGAGCAGAGCTGTCCCTGCCGTCCGGCTGCGGCCAGGATGGCCAAGGCTCCCCTGCTGACCATGTCCACCACTGGACGCAGGGAGCTGGGGTGGGCACAGGAGGGCACACCTGGGCCACCCTCCCCATGCTGTGCCCCCATGCAGGTGGCAGGGCCACGCGGGCTGGGCACAGGAAGGGCCGGAGGGGCGGGGCTGTGTGCCCTGCCCGGGACCTGGCGCTGGTCCAGGCTCCCCGTGGGCAGAGGGGCTGGCAGGTCCCCCACCCTGCTTGCTGTCACGCAGGGGATGGGGGCAGACTTCTCTGGCTGTGGTTTCAGCCATGCTCAACCCTCACGCACCCCTTAAACGGTGGGGCCCGGTCTCTGCCTCCCAGCTGGCATCTCCTGTGCCCGCCCGGGTCTGGGATGCCCTGGTCCCTGGTGGCACAGGCTCCGAAGCTCAGCTGCCGCTAGAGCTGCCGTGGCCCACGGAGCCTCTCTGCTTCCCGGGCACCACCCCACCCACCCGCCTTCTCTCGAGACGTGTTCAGTGGTCGCCTTCCTGTCCCTGCAGTGGTCTCTCCTCCTCCTGCCCTGAGAGCTGCCCCAGCTGACAGCCCTGGGCTCCCCAGAAAGCTCAGGTGCACCTTGGGCAGCTCGCCCTCACACCCTGGCTCCTGCCTCCCCACCAGGGCCCCGCCCCACCCGCGGGCTGCAGGCAGCTGGCGCGGTGCCTCGAGCACTCCCCGCCCCCCCCGGGCCCCCCCGGGTCCTGCTGGGCTCGCTCGGCTCGGAGCCCCGGGGCGATGCCCCCCCTGCGTGAAGGCTCCTGGGCCCTGCTCTGCCGTGGGGTCCACTGCCGCTCCACACGCGCCTCTGTCCCGCCTGTTGGGAGCTCGGGAGCCAGGCAGCCACCCCACCCTTGGCATCTGGGCTGCACCTCAGCCCTCAGCCCTGCCCTCCCGGGGAGGCGGGAGGCGTGGACACAGCCTGCGCAGCCCTCCCCCCACCACACCACCGCCACCGCCTCCACACCCTGCAGCCAAGAGCCCCAAGGCCGCCGCGCTGGGTTTGAATTGTCACGGCCAGAGGTGTCACCCCGTCCGTGTCTCCAGCATCCCGGGCCTGTTGGTTCGAAGCAGCGTCTCCCCACAGGCCCACACAGCCGCCCTGCCTGACCCGGCTCCCGGGCGCTGGGGCTGCCTGCGCTGATGGGCTGAGATGTCCGGGGACCTTGGGATGCGGTGTTTCCTCCTGAGGGGGGTTAACCTGGCTGGAGGGCAGCAGGCTTCGGGGAGCTGAGCGACGTCCCCTCCCCAGTGTCCTGACCTGTGTCACCGAAGAGGGGATTCAGGGCTGCTGATCCCCTGGACCGAGACGGGAGAGGACCTGGGCCCAGTGTGATCAGGGCTCCTTAGAACTGGGGGGGGTCGGAGCCGGCAGCAGCCCAGGGGAGCGGAGGAAATGGGTTCTTCCCGAGCCTCCAGAAGGACCAGCCCTGCCCACCTTCCGTAGCCCCATGAGACCCGCGTCACTGAGACCCCGAGTGTGAACCAGAACCTGATGCACGGGTGCTGCTTGAAGCCACTAGGCAGGCAGAGCAGCCACGGGGCCCGACCGCCTGGAGACGGCCGCGGGCTCCACCAGCCCAGCGCCGGGCCCCAGGGCGGCGTGGCTGCCCCCCCCCCCCCCGTCAGTCCCGCTGCCCTTGGGGCTCACCACCGGCCGCCCTCCCTGCTCCTGCGGGCCACCCCTTGCGGAGCCACAGGGCGAAGGGGAGGAGGCGGTGAAGGCAGTCACTGGACTTGGTCACTCGACCCCTGTGGCCTGCAGTGAGCCTCCTGGCATGGGCAGGTGGAAATGGGCTAGCCCTTCCCTGAAGCTGCCTGTGGGACTCAGAGCCCCCCCCCCGGGCACCAGGGACCGCTGGTCTCGTAGCCCAGGCGCCCGCGTGGCCCTCGTGGGCAGAGCAGGGCTCCCCTGCGTGTGCTGCGCTGGCACTCAGCTCCTGGGGGGCGGCACACTGCCTCCCCGCCCCCACCCACAGCGGCTCTGTCACCCACACCTGCTCCAGCCCCACAGTGCAGGCGGCACTGCCCGAGAGCGGGCCTGCCTGTCCCTCCCAGTACCGGCCCGAGGTCTGCCTCGCAGAAGCGCGTCAGGCCCGCTGCTCAGCGCCCCGTGGGCCGTGCTCAGAGCACGCGTCCAGCGAGACCTTGTGTGTGGGTATTTTGTTCCGTGTCAGGACGAACACTAACAGTGTGGGGCTGGTTCCTGTCACGTGCAACCAAGAGGGAGCCTGGGGTCGAGGGGGCCACAGGACCAGCCCCTTCTCGCCAAGTGGGGTGGGGGGCAGAGAGCAGACGGCCTGTCGGTGTGGGGAACAGGATAGGGTACAGCCAGACGCCAGGCAGGGGGTGAGGGGAGGCCTGCATGATCTGAAACTGGCCAGCACCCAGGACCCCTGCAGGATGAAGCGACAGGCCCCTCCCGCCTGTCTGCCAAGCTGAGGTGACTGGACGCCCTGCAGCCCTGCAGCCCTGCAGCCCTGCAGCCCTGCAGCCCTGCAGCCGGACGGAGCCTGATGCCCTGTTTCCAGAGCCCCTCTGGGCACCTTCCTGCCTCAGGGGCAGGGAGCAAGGCCCGCTGTGTCAGCTAGGCCAGAGAAGCTGGGCGCACGGGGACCCTCCCCTCCGTCAGGGGGTCCAGGAGGTGGGGGCGGGACTCCAGGGCTGATTCTGTCCCCAGGGGACCCGTCTGGGAACAGGTGCGATGGCCACGCAGTGGGGAGGCCAGAGGTGCTGCTGTGTGGTGAGGCGCACAGGACGCCCCCCACAGAGCCGCCGAGGGCGTCTGCTGCAGGGCCGGATGGGCCCAGCGACGGGGCGGGTGCTGCAGGGGCCCTGCCGGCCAGCCGCGGCGGCTGCCCGCACTTCACACAAGGGCAGCGTGCAAATCCAGGGAGCCCCGAGGGTGCAGGCTCTGCTCGGACTCCTCTCCAGGACGCTCTGCCGCGCTCATGGCCACGCGGCGCAGGGGGCAGCGGCTGGGCTGTGGCGGAGATGCCTGCACCCCAGGCTGGCGGGTGTTGTTTACAGGGTTGGGCTGCAGTGCACCCTCTGCCTTTCCCCAAAAAAGGACTGAAAAGTGAGTTCATCCTGCAGGAAGCCCAGGTGCCAGGTGATGCCCTGGGCCTTGGCAGCCGCAGCGTGGCCGTGGTCCTGCAGCGTGGCGGTGCTCCACGTCTGTCCCCGGGCCTCCTCCCGCCCAGCCCAGCCCAGTGAGTCACCCTGCTCAGGCAGGGGTGGCCCGTGGGGACACCTGACCCCACACAGGTCCCCTGGCAGAGCCCAAGGCAGCGCACATGGATGGGAGCCGCCCCGCCCCAGGTGGTCCCGTCCCCCCACCCCGCCCGGACCGCGAGACTGGCGTGGGTCTTTACTGAAGGAATTTATTGTTCCGGAACTGACGTTGCTCACAGTTATTTGACAGGGGTACATGGGGTGGGACGCATCCGTGTCCGTGATGTCTGCGTGTCCCAAGTACAAAAGGGCAGGCTGGCGGGGGATATTGCTTTCGGTGCCCTCCGCCGAGAGAGCCCTCTGGCGCCTGCCGCAGCGCGAGACAGGCACCAGGTGCTTCTCAGCGCGGGGGCCAGCCTGTGGGGGCCAGCGTCAGAGCGGTGGAGCCCGTCCCCGCCGGGCCGGCGGGCGCGACACCAGAAGCAAGCGGCTGTCAGCGAAGGCATGCAGTCAGGCCCTCCCGCCGCCGGCCCTCCACGCCGGGCGCCCCTGGCCGGCGGGCGCGCCCACAGGAAGACAAGCAGAAGCGGGGGACGGGGCAAAGCAGGGCGGCCACACCCGCCACCTCTCGGAGCACAGAGAACACTGGCGGACGCCGCTGACTCTGTCCTCGGCGTTTTGTTTTTTTGTGGTTTTTTTTTTCACGTTTTGTCATTTTAGTAAAAAACCCTGCGGTGCCCCTGCCATCCTGAGTGGGTGGGGCCGGCCCCCACCCCTGCTCTCAGATCCGAACCAGAGGGCCCCGTCCGGGCCTGGCGGAGGGGCCCTGGGCGGTGGCGCCCGGGGCTGGGGCCGCTCCGACCGGGCGGACAGCGCGGACCCGCCATTCTGTAAATATATATGTGTGTGTAGAAAGAACCAAGAGCCAGAACCGAACACAAACCTCGCCCTGCCCAGCGGCTCCCCTCCCCCACACCCCTTTCCAAAAACAACCAAGGAAAAAAGTTTATAAAAATATCTTGCAGGAATTCTTTAAAGTTTACAGTAGCTTGCCAGCGCTGCCCTGCCGGCCGGCCCCCTGGCGCCCCGACAGCTGTCCGCAGGGCCCTCGGCCCAGACCCCCCCTGCCCGAGACACAGACAGACGGACGGACGGCAGGGAGATGCTGCTGCCCCTTCCCTGGACAGAGAAGTGAAGAAACTCAATAAGTTAAAACAGCAAATAAATAATACTGATCTCAGCCAGCCCGCTGCCTCCGGGTCCAGTTCTGCCCGGGCCGGGCCGGCACGCAGGCCCGAGAGCACCAGCAGCAGGGTGGGCGCCAGGCGGCAGTGGGCAGGGCGAGGGCGCTGCAGGGGGAGGGTCCCAGGCGGCCTGGAGCGCCCGCCACCGCCTCGCAGTTCCTTCGCCCGCCACGGGCCCTGCCCTGGGGGCGGCCTAGCCGGCTGGACCTGCCGAGGGCGCCAGTCACTGCAAGTCCGGTGGGCGGGCTGGAGGCAGCTTCCACGGAGCCAGGTCCTCCTCCCCGGGGCCATGCGGAGCGGAAACTGGGCAGGGCGGACGGAGGCAGCGGCGGCGGGCAGGGCCTCGCCGCCGGGCGGGCGGGCGGCAGCAGGGCGGACGGGCAGGTCCAGGGCAGCTGCCTTCATTTGGCGGCGTCCGGCGCGGAGCCCAGAGGGTGGCCTCGTGGAGGTGACATGTTAACTTTTCGGGATAATTCCTGGTATCAGAGCGGAAACAGTGACGTTGTCAGAGACAGGCAGAGAGAGAGCCAGCGAGAGAAAGAGAGCAGGCCTGGCCGGTGCCCCTCTCCCTGCTCCCGGCTTCCACACCGGGCGGCGGGCGGCGGCCCTGCGAGGGCCGCGCTGGGGGAGAGGCTGAGTGTCTAAGGCTGCTCGCGGCGGGCGGCGGGCGGCCCCGTCTGGGCCGTGTCCTTGCCCGCTAGGTACTCGGCATCCCCTCCAGGGCCGGGGCCAGCGGCCGCCGAGTCACCGAGTGGACTGTGGGCACTCTGCTTGGCGGGCGTGCTGGGGGCCTGGGCCGCCTGCCCGTTCTTCTCGTCTGAAAAAAGTTGTTTAATTACGTCAAAGAGGTTACTCACGGGGCTGCCTGGGTGCACAGAACAGAAGACAGAAGGAAAAAGAAAAACGGGGCGAGAGAGAGGAGGGGAAGGAGAGAGAGAACAAACACACAGATGAACGGAAGGCCTTGGCGAGGAGAGAAAACCCAAAGAGATGCCTCCGAGGTGGGCGTGGGGCGGGCCAGGCGACAGCAAGCAGGGGCCGGGGCTCTGCGGGGGCCGGGCTTTGGGGGCAGGGACGGGACCACTAGGCCCTGGGCCACAGGAGGGACCCCAGGGCAGGTGCAGCCCTCTCGCCCCCAGCCAGCCACTGAGTGGGGACACCAGGCACTAGTCCCTCGGCAGCCCCGCGGCCGTGCTGGGTGGCCCCCCGCTCTGAAGACAGACCATGCAGATGGGGCCGCCGCAGCCCTGGGCCGACCAGGGCCCTGGGACCGTGGCCGGCTCTTCGCACGAGGCCAGGGGGCCTGCCCTGGGTGAGGAGGCTGGAACCAGGGTGCCCGCCACACCCCTCCCCTGGCCAGCCCAGGCTGCACGGCGTGGACACAGCAAGACAGACAGATGGACGGATGGGTGGACAGGCATGGAGAGCTTGGTGGGGGAGGGCTGGGGCCGGCAGCCAGAGTGGGGAATGTCCTGAGGTCAGGAAGAGGGGGCCAGGAATGGGATGACCACCCTGAGCTGGGGCCCTGTGCTCACCGCCCAGGTGGGCTGGCGGGGGTGCCTACGCTCTAGTTCCTACACCTGAGCCCTACCCGAGCTCAGACACGTGGGCCGCGCTCCCTGCCAGTGCAGGGAGGAGCCAGGGCCTGTGGGCGGCGGAGCTCCCGGCCTCAGCAGGAGCAGCGAGCAGCGTCCCACCGGGGGACAGAGGGCCTGAGGCCGGCCTGCTCCCGGACTGGGTCCACCTGGACCCCAGGTCAGAGCCTGCACACAACCCTTACCGGCCTTGGGGCACGCTCTGAGCACTGGGGTCCCTCCCGGCCTGCCCTGGCGGGTGAGCAGCCGCTCCAGCAGCTGGGCGCATGGGGGCCTATGCTGGGCCCCGCGTGTGTGTCCGGCCCCAAGCTACACCGAGACCCCAGGACAGCCCCGGGTGGCGGGCAGCACCAGCTGGGAGCAAGCTGCGGGAGGCCGGGCGGGCGGTGCGGGGCTCTTACCACATCTGGAAAGTCTCCCCGTCATCGCCTCCATGCAGTTAGTGGTGTCTGGAGCACAGAACGGAGAGAGGGCAGCCGTGAGCCAGGGTTCCCGCCAGGACCTCAGCCAGGCCCTGCTCAAGGCCCGGCCCCAGGGAGGGCGGAGCCAGGAGGGGTGGGGCCCAGGGTGGGTGGGGCCTGGAGGGCCGGGGCCGGGGCCTGGAGGGGCGGGGCTCCAAATGCAGGCCTTAAGAGGGACCGTCTGGGGAGTGGAGGGTCCTTCCTGCAGCAGCCAGAGCCTGAGGACAGGCCATGGCCCTGCTCCAGGGGCCCGCGGCCGCCTGGCCCTCCCTCTGTCCCTGGGTCCTGGACACCTGCTCTGCAGCTGAGAGGCCAGCACTCGGCCGGGGTCTACGCTGCCCACCTGCGTGTCCTCAGCCTACAGGTCTCGGGCCCCTGCCCTGACCCCCCCCCCCACCTGCTGCTGGGAGTGTTGGCACTGGTGGGTGGGACAGGGGGCAGGCAGCAGGGCCTGTCGGGTGCGATGTGTCCCCTTGCCCTGCGCTCCATGGGCTGGGGTCCTGGGGTGGCCACCAGGTGTCTCAGCCTGGGGGGGTGAAGGTCCCTCCTCCTACCCACCTCTACGGTGGCTCTGGGACTGAGCTCACTGGACAAGAGTGTCCAGTGTGGGCGGGAGGCTGGGGGACAGGGCAGGGGCTGGGGCCCCAGGTTAGGCTCCCCAGGTAAAGGACCTGCTGAAGGAGGGCAAGGGAGACAGGTGGGCCCAGAGCAGGCGCCCAGGAGTCTCCAGGCCCGGCTGTGGGCACAGACACCCTCCGGGCAGGTGCCCTGGCCTCCCCTCCCCGCCCGGGATGCGCTCTGCCCTTCCCTAGCCTCGGGTTCCCTGTCGGCACGCCCTGCTCTACACGGAGACCTTGAAGTCCCAAGAGGCAGAGGCGCCTGACCTCTCGCAACCTGCCCCACGGCACCTGGGCAGTGGGCCCACACCTGCGGCTCGGCCGGGGGGTCGGGGGCTGCCAGTGGGGTGTGTGAGGGAGAGGAGGCGGCGGTGAGATGGATGATGGAATGAGGATGGCAGGGCGGGTGGACACATGGGCCGGCCTGGCCTGCAGGACCCCACACAGAAGCACAGGGCACCCAGCCAGCTGCAGGGCTCAGAGGGCCGGACTGGGGCTGGACGCTGTGTTCCCCGGACCCCAAGCCTCAGAACAGGCCTCACGGCAACCCCCACCTTGCCGCCTGGACACATGCCTCGTCCTCCCTGACAAGTGCCCGCGCGGGCTCGCCCGCTCCCCACCCGACACCCAGCGGCTGACCTCCGGCTCCCGGGCCCCTAGCGCCTCCAGCCAGGGCCCCCTGCGCTGTGTGGTGTCTCTAGGCCCAACTGGGGAGCCCCTGCTTTCCCTGGAGCTTCAGACCCCGTCTGGCTCAAGGCCGACGGGCACAGGCCTGTCTCAGGGTGGCAGCAGCCCTCGCAGGGTGCGGCTGCGGGGCCCGGGGCCCGGGCTCCAGGAAGACCTCGGCGCCTGCTCTCCCAGAGCCTCTCTCACGGGGGCCCAGGGCCAGCCTGCCCTGTGTCCGGCGACTCGCCTGTCCAGGGCCGGGCGGTGGCCATGTGAGTGGGCACAGGGCCCGCCTCAGGGCCAGCCTGGCTCTCACCAGGGGACGTGACTGCAGCCCCCTCCCTGCCCCAGCGGCGGGGCCGGACACCTTACCTGCCAGCGTCAGAGGCTACTCTCGTAGCTGGTGGCCACCTTCTGGCCTTTTAGCCCAGCACCCCAGCTTAGTCCTGGCGCTGGCGGGGAGGTTTCTACAGTGGACAAGAGGCGCCTTTCAGTGCGGTGTGCTGGGCCCTACCTCCCTGGTGTGCAGGCGGGCTGGCCCCTGCGCTGGGAGGCCCTGCTCCCTGGGGTGGGGCGGCGGAGGGCCCGTGCCCACGCAGTAGCCCACAGGCAGGGCGGTCGAGCCGAGCCCCCCTCACCTGACAAGTGCTGGGTGGAGGGCTGGTCGTGTGTGCTCAGGAGCTGTGTCTGAATGGTCTCCACCACCCTCTTGAAGCGGCGGCTCGGGCCTGGGGGAGACAGCGGGTTGAGCCGGGGCAGGGCGCCAGGGCCCGTGCCCGTGGCCAGCAGCTCACCTGACAGAAGCGTGAAAGTGACCGAGTAGATGCCGTTCTCCTTCTGGGCTGCCCCGCCCTCGGAGTAGGTGATGTCCACCTGGAACTTGACCGGCTTCTGGAACACCGCCGGGCCCCCCGTGGCCTTGTACTCCGCCCGGAAGCTGGTCTGGGAGATGACGCTGTGGCTGAGACTGGGGATCTGCAGGGTGGCAGCTTGGCGTGAGCGGGGACCGGCCCCCACCCCCCCTCGCGAACCTGGACCCCGGGGCCAGCCCCCCAGCCGCGCCTGCGAAATGGAAACTGGTCCATCGGGCAGCGAGCCGCGGGGCGTGCCCACGAGAGCCGAGACCCCGGGCAGCGCTTCCTAAGAGGAGCGAGGACAGACACAGGGGCGAGGGGACCCCACCGAGCAGCAGCGAGGACATGAGACCAGGGCCGAGGCCTCTGCTCTGCTGGCACTGGGATCCGGGCCCCTGAGGCCCAGGCCCGGGCCGGCCCACGGCTGCTCAGGATGAGAGCTGCCCCTCCAGGCCGGTGGGAGAGTATCTGTCTGTCTGTCCGGTGCATGCGTGGCCCCGTGTCCGGGGTGGGGGCGAGGCTCACCGACAGGAAGGCGTGGACGACGTCGGCTTTGATGGAGCTCAGGGGCTTGTCCCTGATGACCAGGAAGATCTGCTCCTCCTTCTCCAGGCTGATGAAGTTCCCGAACCAGGACTTCTTGGCCAGCCTGCAGGGTGGCCAGAGGGCTGCTCAGGCCTTGGGGACGGGCCTTCCTGACCCCAACCCCACCGTGCTGACCCCCACTCGCCTTGCCCTTGACTGCCCCCGAGCTCTGACCCTCCCACCTGGACCCTGACCCCTCCACCTGGCCCCGAACCCCTTCCCACCCAACCCCACCATCCTGACACACCTGCCTGGCCCGTCTCCCCCCACACCCTGGCCCCGGCTCCGACCCTGCGGCTAGCCCCACAGCCCTGGCCTGACACCCCTCCTGCACCCTTGCCTGGGCCCAGCAGCACCCACTGGAATCCCGCCAGGAGGGGAGAACCCACCCCACCCCAGCCTGCCTGTCCGGTACGTCCCCGTCGCCCGGGCTGTGCCGGGGGCAGTCCCGAGGACTCCCTGAGAAGTGGCCCCACCCAGGGCTGTAAGGGGAGCAGGGAGGTGCGGGAGCTGGGGGTGGGGGTGGGGCAGCCTCCGCTCCCCCAGGCCGCCCCTTGTTTCCCTCCTCAGGGACCTGTGCCCCGGCCCAGGCCACTCCGTGGGACTCAGGTCGCTTCAAACCCCAGTGGCCAGGAGGCCGGTCCGCAGCCCACAGAGCCGAGGCTGGCGGCATCTCCCGTGGGGCGCCTCGCCCCCGGGCGCCCAGGGCCGCCCTCACTGTCCGAGGTCATCACGCCACGTCCTGCATCTGAACCGCCCCGAGGTGGAGACCAACCCGCCACCCTGCCTCCTGGGTGGGCGCCCGTGCGGCCCTCCCTTGGGCGAGGCCGGGGCTGGTGACCTCCAACCAGGAGAACATGGGGAAAGAGGACCTGGTCACCGCCAAGACCAGGTCACGAAGGCTGTGACACCCCTCTGGCCAGCCTCTGGCCTTTTGTTGAAGCTGACCGGCTGGCAGGAGGCCCTCGGGGACCTGAACCCCACCCACAGCAGCTCCTGTGCGGCCGTGAGGGCCACTGGGCGTGGCGGGTCCTGACCACGGAGGCTGAGGACGGGCACTGCCTTACGCCGCTGTGTGTGGGGGCGTCGGTCCCGCAGCCGGCACTGACAGGCCCTGGTGCCTGCTCCCCGCACGGGGACCCGGTGATGAGCAGCAGCCAGGCCCGGCGTCTTGCCCGTGGCTTTGGCAGGGTGCTCCTCAGAGCTCACTCGGCGCTGCCCGGAGGCGCGGCTGACGGTTTCCCGGCTGTCTTCCCTTTTCCTGCCCCTTTCCAGAGCTGCTCTTCAGCCGGCATGACAGTGACCACCCAGCCCGCAACAGAGCCGTCCACTCCCATCGGCCTGGCCCAGGACCCCGCTCCCACGCCGTCACTCAGATCCCTCAGCTTCCTTCCCACGTCCCGCGAGCGCCCGGCCTCCGGCCCGGGGGCGACAGCGGCTCCGGCGAGCTGCTCACAGCTGCACCAGGACAGCGCCCGGGGCGCCTGGAGTCCAGGGCGGGGCTCTCCTTCCGCGCCCCCGACGAGGGCAGAAGCGAAACAGTGAGAAGTGGCTTCCGTACTCTGACGCCCAGAGCTCAGCATCTCGCTAAAACAGCGCCGTGTCTGGGAGATGCCTGGCTGGGCCGGGAAGGCTGGTGGAGGGCGTGTGGGGACGAGCCTGTGACCGTCAACGTGGCCAGTCTGGGCCAATGCTGGGTGTTGCTTCTTAAAGACATTTTGTAGCCGTGGCGGTCAGTGGAGTCTGAGTAGCCAGACCACCCGTCGGTGGGCCTTGTCCAGTAGGTCGGCGGCCTTGAGCGCAAAGGTGGTGTTTTCCCTCCGCGGGGCAGCCGCCCAGGGCCGGCCCTGCACCCACAGCCTGCGGAGCCCAGTCTGACCTGCCAGCAGGCGCCCACCCTGCACCCGCCTGGTTTTCTCAGGGACCCCGGCGAACGAGGGGCTGCCGGCCACTTGGGGCCAGGAACATGTGCGGTGCAGGAGGAGGTGCCGGGGACTAACTGCACCCCACTTCCCGGGACACCTGCACCTGCTCATTCCCACCGGGCCCTCAGCAGGGACGGGCCTTCCCGGCGCTGGGTGGGAGGCAGGGCCAGTGGCCCCCGCGGGCTCTGTGCCTGCCCTGGAAAACCCAGCGGCGACACCGCGAACACGTGTGGGGCAGCTTGTCAGAGCAGCAGAGACTGCGGAGAAGGGATGCCACGGCGGGACTCGGGGCTCGCCACCTCCCCCCAGACAGCCGCCCGACTGCCTCCCCTGCCCGCACGGCTGTGTCCACACCGGCTTCCCCTTCACACACCGCCCCTGGACCAGGGGTCCGAGGCCACAGGGAGGGCGGGCTCTCCAGGGCTTCGCCCAGACCGGAGCGAGGTGCAGCTCCTGGTCCAGACCTTCCGCAGGGTGGGGTGCGGCCCTGTTCCCCATCACCCAGGATCCCCATGTCTGCCTTGTGTGACGGTGACCAGAGGGCTATTTGCACCCAGCCTAGGCCAAGACCACCCCTGTAACGTGTTCCCTCGGGCCGTTCCTGGCTGTCCCTCCTCCTTGACCAGTGCCTTGAGACCCTCCATCCCTGGGGCCCTGCTCATCTGCCACCTTCTGGGGACCACGCTGCAGGTGCCAGAGCCAGTCCTGGAGGCCCCCCCACACCCAGCTCGTCCAGGGCAGAGGTGTGAGCAGGCTGGGCCCCTGGGGGCGCCCGCTGTGGACGCCAGGACTCGGCAGGTGCGCAGGGGCCCCTCCGAAGGGTAGCTATGCCTCCAGCGATCATAGGCTCTTCTCCCAGGCTGTGGCTTCCAAGCAGAACTAAACTGTCCCCTGAGCGGCTCCCCCCCCACCTCAGGCCCTGCCCCAATCCGAAGTCAGGAGACTTGGAGAGATGCGCCCTGGAGGCGGTGGCTGAGGCAGGAGGCGGAGAAGACAGACCAGCGGGAGCAGGGCCACAGGGAGAGGGAGAAGGAAAAGGATGGGGGCTGGGTGTGGGCCCAAGGCCTCCGTGGATCCCCTGGCCTGCCACGTGGGGGTCCCCTAGGGCCTCCCCTGTGCGCTCGGCATCCCAGCCCCAGGAGGGAGAGTCACAGCCCCACCCGACCTCGCCCAGGGGCCACTTACTCTGGGGATGACTCCGGGGTCAGGTTGGACATCTCCTCCGGCGTCGGAACTGCACACAGGAAGGACAGGGAGAGGTGTGGTGAGCCCCCTGCCTCCTCCCGCAGGCCCCACGCCCTGCCTGGCCATGGCCCCAGGAGCCTTGGGACGTGGGGAGCTGTCCTGGCCTCTGGTGCTGAAATCGGGCTGTGCCTGCTCCGGCCCTCGGCCGGGCAGAGGGTGCCTGCAGGCCCTCCGTTGCCCTGTGGGTCTCCTGGTCATCTTGCCCACACCCCCCAGCGGCCCCCTCCCCTCCCTGAGCCTCAGGCAGCCCGTCCCAGCCCTGAGGAGGCCCCTGGGCTGAAGAGGAACAAGGGACCCAGTAGGGCTCCCCATCTGCAGCCTGTGGGCCCCGCACACGCACTGGGGGGCTGGGAGTGTGTGGGCATCTGGGGTGCTGCCAGGCCTGGTGGACATGGCACCAACCAGGGCTTTGGTAGGCTGAGCCTCACCTGCCCCACCGACCCCACCGGCCGCGATGAGCCCCCTGCCCTGCCCCTCAGCTCACCCTGCAGTTTCCGGCGGTGGAAGCGAGGAGACCCCAGGAAGCTGTTCTTGATGGAGTTGAGCCTCGTCCTCCAGGGCACCCCTCCGACGCTGGGGCTGGACGGCGGCGTGGGGTTGGGCGTGCCGGCTGGGCTCTCCTTGGGCGTGTGCACGGGCGTCCCCTTGGGGGTGGGGAGGGGACTGCCCCTTGGAGAGGGGTGAGGGGTCACCTGTATGGTGGGGACAGATTTAGTGTTCGGTTCAGTCCCAGTGGGCGGGAGCCGGGTGAGGGCAGGCAGGGGGGCCAGCCCTGGGGTCAGGGCCAGCGGGGGACCAAGGCCGCGGGGCACAGGGAGCCGGGCCTGGGTGCCGGCTGGGAGAGGGATGGACTTGGTGCCCTGCAGAGGCTTGTCGGTCAGCTTGGCCTTGCTCGGCAAGGTCTGGGTCTTGGGGTTGGGCCGCGGGGCGGCCTGTGGAGGGAGGACGTGTCCGGGCCGAGAGGCGCTCTGACAAGCTTCGGGCTCCACGGAGGCGGCCGGGGTGCAGGCCGCGAAGGGGAGCTCGGGGGGCGGGGGGGGCAGGACAAACTTCCTAACAGGCTGCAGGGCGGGCGGAGGGTGCGGAGCAGGGCCGGCACGGGGTCCCCCATGCAGTCACCGCCCACCCGCATGCACACACAGCACCGGGAGGACCAGCGGCACAGGCAGGTGGGGGCGAAGCGTTTGCCACAAAAGAAAACAAGCGACAGAAGAAAACACACAGAACAAAGAAGAACGTGCAGTTAGCGAGGGCAGCCAGGGCCGCGGGCGGCAGCACCGAGGGCCCACCGCAGGCGGACGCGGGGGGGCCTCTCCCAGGGCCGCCCAGTCCACCCCGGGCAGCTTCTGCTTGGGAGCCTGGGCGACGGCAGGTCACTCACCCGGGGGCTGCTGAGCGGGCTGGTGGACAGGCCTGAGGAAGCTCCGCTGATGGACCTGGACCTGGGGACACAGGTGCGGAGCGGGGCTCAGCCTGGGACGGGCCGCAGGTCACAACTTCTCTCCCCACAGGCGGACTGTCCGGAGTCCTGGATGCCTCGGACTGTCCTGCTGCCCCCATCCCGCCTCTCCACAGACCAGGAGAGGCCCCCCAGCCCTCTGGGGCTCCCGACAGAACCCCAGTGGTGCGGCCTCGGGGATCCTCCACCAGGGCGGCAGAGGAGCTGTCCGCCAGCATCTGCCGGGGGCTCGGGTGGACGGAGGGACTGGGGAGGCTGCAGCTTCCTGTGGACTGAACCCAGTCCCTGGACCAGGCCCGCTCTCCACACACCAGCTGCCTGAGCTCAACCTGACCCCTGAGGCTGAGCTGGCCCAGGACCACCAGCTGGACGCTAGCCAGCCCCTTGGCACCCACAGCCCACCCGCCCGGCCCAGAGCTGCCCACAGCTGGCCAGCCCTCAGCCCCGTCGCTGGCACCACGAGGTCCTGGGCAAGACATGGCCAGGGTGAGCACAGGCAGGGACCGGGGGCCTTCCCACCACTGGCCGCACTGGGCCCGCAGACCTGGCCTGGGCTGGAGGGAGCCGGTGGCCCCGTGTGCCTGGCTGGGGCAGACGGCCTGCAGGGCCTCGCCACGCCCGCCGTCCTTAGAGGAGGGAAATGGGACAGGCTGACACAGCCCAGGACAGGACAGAATGACAGGTGCCGGCCCGCCTCAGCCTGCTGGTTCGGAAAGGGGTCTCGCCCGCCACACCTCAGCCTGGGTCCTGGACCTCTAGGAGGAGCGGAGCCCACGCTGGCTGGACTCTGGTTCCTGGCCACTCCACAGCACCTGTGGGCTGGGGCCCCGTGGCCGTGGCCGTCCAACTCCCTCACCTGACGGCACAGGCCGGAGCCACTGACCCTGCCCAGGCCCCGGCCCAGAACAGGCTGGACTCAAAGCTTCCTGACGCTCAGAACGGAGCTGGGGGTGCTGGGTCCCAGTGGGTGCCCCCAGCAGCCACGAGGCCCAGTGTGCCCGGGGCCTCCCACTGAGCCAGCACAAGCCTGTCGCTTGGCACAAGGAAGCAGGGAGCAGCGGGGGAGGGGGCGTCTGCACACCCTCTGCCCAGCCCGGCAGCCCCTGGAGATGAAGCTGTGGCCACTCAGGAAGAGGACAACGCCCACACCCAGGCGCCCGGTGGCGGGCAGGTGCCCAGAGGCCGTGGGGGACAGCAGGGGCTGGTCCGACCGCGTGGCCCTCGGGCACTGGGCCCTGCAGTGCAGGCAGGGGCTTGGGAAGGCCGGCTGAGCAGAGACCCCTGTGACCGGCACACTTCCTGCCACCTGCTTGGGAACCGCAGTAGGCTCGGGACAGCTGAGCGGCTTCTGGCGGCCACTTCTCTTGGATCCTAGTGGGCAGCGGGGCAGCCCCAGGACCCAGGGGCTGCGCTGGACAGGGGGCTGGGGAGAGGTTACCCAGGGCACCACCAGCCACAGCAAGGCTGGGCCAAGAAGGGGCCTCACGCCTGCAGCCCCTCAGGGGCCCAGGGCAGGGAGAGCACAGTGGTCTCCTGGCCCCTCTCGGGCTGGCCACCAGCCTCGCCCAGCAGCCCACTCCTCCTGGGCCTCAGCCTGGCCTGACCCAGCCCTTCCCCCGGCTTCTGGAAGGTTCCCTTGCCAAAGAGGAATGGGCCAGATTCACCTCAGGCCCAGCCCGGCCACCAGGCCCGAGTCGCCTGGGGGGCGGGGGGCGGGGCGGGTGGGCAGGGTGTATACCTGTCTTCTTTGTTGAAGGGGGGGTGGGCCTCAGCGATATCCAGGCTTTTACTGAACATTGCTTTACTATGGCAGGAACAAAGCGAGAAAACAGAGTTACTGCCGCAGCCCCGCCGCGTGGCCCGGAGGCCGGACCTCCACACAGCTCTGCGCTGGCCGGGCAGTCACCAGGGAGCCTCGGACGGGACAGTGCCAGGCCACAGGCCCTCGCGGCCTGTGGTCACAGCCTCGTGGCCTGAAGGGGGAGCAGAGCCCCAGGAGCTGCGGGGCTGGGAGGTGCTGGCAGGAAGGGTGTTTCCGGTGACCATGAGGCTGGTTCACACCGACCCCACCCCGGCGCCCAGCACCCGGTGGCAGCCGGGCCTGGGAAGCAGAGTAGAAGCCACGGCGGGGTGGCCTCCACGCCCGGCCCCTGCCTGGACCCAGGGGGGGAGGTGGCTGCTGCAGGAGGGACAGGTCAGCCCTCGGCCAGCCCTGAGGGGCCCCCAGGAGGCAGGCCAGGCTTGTGGAGCGGGGCTGGGGAGAGGGGTGCCCACAGCAAGCAGGACAGGTGTGAGCAGGGCAGCAGTGCGGCCAGAGGGTGCCTCCCCCTGCTCCTCCCCTGCCCCTCCCCTGGCCCGAGCGCGGGCCCAGCTGTCTGGAGACCTCAGTGGAGGCTCAGAGGCCCGGAGCCCAGGCCAGAGGCTAAGCCAGCGGGTTCCCTGCGGAGGCCCAGGACCACCAGCCCACTCTAATCTCGGTACTGGCCCGTTGCCCCGCGGTTCCTGTTTGGTGGAAGATGCCTGGGGAGGCTTGGCCAGCTCGAGCGTCCAGCATCCAGTTGATCAGACAGTGGAGGCTGCTGGGACCACCCACAGTGCTCCCTGGGACCCCAGATGGCTGAAGCCCCCATCTGGGCAAGAACTTCTAGCTTCAACCCAGGGTGAGGAGTGGCCAAGGGCTTCGCCCGGCCCCGAAACAGCTGTGCTGTGGAGCCAGAATGCTCTGCCTCCCCCAGGGATCTGCTGGGGCAGCTCATTGTCCCCCAGGAGTCCACTTCCCTGCCCCTTGCACCGCCATCGGCGACCCAAACACGGGGTCAACGGTTAAGTGGAGACAGGCCTGCGAGGCTGCTGGCTGTGAGCATCACTGGACCACAGTCCACTCCACCCAGCTTGGCCCGGCCCAGCCCGTCGAGTCCAGTCCAATTCGGCTCAGCTCGGCCCCGTCCAGCCCAGTCCAACTCGGCTCAGCCTGGCCCAGCCCCGTCCAGTCCAGTCCAACTCGGCTCAGCTCGGCCCCGTCCAGTCCAGTCCAACTCGGCTCAGCCCGGCCCCGTCCAGTCCAGTCCAACTCGGCTCAGCCTGGCCCAGCCCAGCCCGTCCAGTCCAACTCGGCTCAGCCCGGCCCCGTCCAGTCCAGTCCAATTCGGCTCAGCTCGGCCCCGTCTAGTCCAGTCCAACTCGGCTCAGCCTGGCCCAGCCCCGTCCAGTCCAGTCCAACTCGGCTCAGCTCGGCCCCGTCCAGTCCAGTCCAACTCGGCTCAGCCCGGCCCCGTCCAGTCCAGTCCAATTCGGCTCAGCTCGGCCCCGTCCAGTCCAGTCCAACTCGGCTCAGCCTGGCCCAGCCCAGCCCGTCCAGTCCAACTCGGCTCAGCCCGGCCCCGTCCAGTCCAGTCCAATTCGGCTCAGCTCGGCCCCGTCCAGTCCAGTCCAACTCGGCTCAGCCTGGCCCAGCCCCGTCCAGTCCAGTCCAACTCGGCTCAGCCCGGCCCCGTCCAGTCCAGTCCAATTCGGCTCAGCTCGGCCCCGTCCAGTCCAGTCCAACTCGGCTCAGCCTGGCCCAGCCCCGTCCAGTCCAGTCCAACTCGGCTCAGCCCGGCCCCGTCCAGTCCAGTCCAATTCGGCTCAGCTCGGCCCCGTCCAGTCCAGTCCAACTCGGCTCAGCCTGGCCCAGCCCCGTCCAGTCCAGTCCAACTCGGCTTAGCTCGGCGCAGCCCGGCCCAGCGCAGCCCGGCTCAGCCCAATTCAGCCCAGCCCAGCCCAGCCCAGCCCAGTTCAGCCCAGCCCAGCCCAGCCCAGCCCAGCCCAGCTCAGCCCAGCCCAGCCCAGCTCAGCCCAGCTCAGCCCAGCCCAGCCCAGCTCAGCCCAGTTCAGCCAGTTCAGCTCAGCCCAGTTCAGCCCAGCTCAGCCCAGCCCAGTTCAGCCCAGCCCAGCCCAGCCCAGCTCAACCCAGTTCAGCCAGTTCAGCTCAGCCCAGTTCAGCCCAGCCCAGCCCAGCCCAGCTCAGCCCAGCCCAGCTCAGCCCAGTTCAGCCAGTTCAGCCCAGCTCAGCCCAGCCCAGTTCAGCCCAGCTCAGCCCAGCTCAGCCCAGCCCAGCCCAGCCCAGTTCAGCCCAGCTCAGCCCAGTTCAGCCCAGCCCACCCCAGCCCAGTTCAGCCCAGCTCAGCCCAGCTCAGCCCAGCCCAGCCCAGCTCAGCCCAGCCCAGCTCAGCTCAGCCCAGCCCAGCTCAGTCTAGTGCAGCCCAGTGTGGCCAGCCGAGCCCCAGGGCCAGGGGCCAGGTGTCAGGCCCAGCACAGCCCAGAAGGGGTGCCAACGCTGACAGGCCAGGGCACAGCAGGTCGGGAGCTGGGCCCCCCAGAAGGACGTACCTCTGGCTGTGCTGGGCCATCTCGATAGCCCGCCGCGCAGGCACCGGAGAGCCGCCGTCGGTCACGCTGAGCACCTCCATGGACTTGCGTTCAGGCCGCCGCTTGCCATGCCGGTTCAGCATCGGGGAGTCCACACGTTTCCGGGGGGGGTCTGCGTGCAGACGGGGGTCAGGCCAGGCAGCCTGCTGGGTCTGGCAGGGGTGGCACGGGGCAGGCCTCCCTGGGACCTTGTACCTATTTCGTTTCTGGGGGGCAGGTCCTCATCCTCGTGGCTGGGGTACCTTTCTTTCCGGTCCAGGAGGAGGAAATAGATCATCTTCTCCTGGTTCTCCCTGCAGGGGGGGCCCCAAGGAGGGTCAGCCGGCACGGGTGTGCCATTGCATTCCCTCCCACAGCCGCCGCCCTGCCGCCACCTGCCGCCCCCACGTGGACGTACTCCTCGGACAGCAGGTCCTGTAGCAACTTGTTGCGGTCCCGGAAACAGCCCAGGGAATGCATGCTGTCCAGCACGTCAGGGTCCATGTCCTCCAGGCTGGGCAGGGAGCGGATCTGGACCTTGCGGGGGATGGGCTGCTCCGGCTCCGGCTCGTTCTTGCCCCCTCTGCGGACGACAGGGCACCACCAGTGGTCACTGACCTCAGCAGGCCTGAGGCGCCTCCCCAAGCCCTTCCTGGGGACCCTGAGTCCTGCTCTCTCCCTGTCCCAGCCCCTGCACACCTCCTGTGTCCTGCTGTGCCCCGGGCAGGCCGGTGGCCGGCCGGGAGTCCCTGAGCGCCGGGCTGGGTCCTCCCCCCGCCTTCCCTAACAGGCCCCCGGGCCGCAGGACAGGCAAAGCAGGCGATGAGTGGGAGGAGAGGCTACTTACATATACCATATGTGTTTCTGAATGTGCTCTAGCTACAAGAGAGAGAAACAGGAAGTTAGTACGGAGGGAGCAGGGAGCCCGCGTTAGAAGGCCAGAGGGAGCAGGCGCTGGGAGCAGCTGGGGGCGGGGGAGGACCACCTCGGAGGAGGGGAGGAGGAGAGGAGAGGGATGAGGGAGAAGAGGGTGAGGATGCAGATGGAGAGAAGGTGGGGGGAGGAGAGAAGGGGCTGGGGACGGAGGAAAATGGGGAGGTGCTGTGTTCCCAGAGGCTCCAAGCTAGCCCCCTGACCCCGCCTACCCCAGTGGAAGAGGAGATGCCAGTCCAGAGAGAGGAGGGCGGGGAGGGTGAACGTGGTGGGGGCTGCAGTGGGGGCACGAGGCCGGGGCCCTCGTGGCTCAGGGAAGGAGGCCCGAGGGAGGACAGCAGAAGGCACCCAGGGGTGGCCCACCTGCAGGGGGGGGCTTGGGTGTAGGTGTGAGCAGGGGGCTTCCCGGTCCCTCTCCACCAGCCTGGGGACAGCTGGGTTGAGGAGGTTGGGAGAAGATGGCCCCTTGGTCACCGGGCCAGTCCAGGGGAGTCCTGTGGCCTTGCCTGGGGACCTAACATCCTGATACAGCTAAACCCAGGATTCCTCCTCCTCCTCCCCCGCTCCGAGGTGGTCCTCCCCCACCCCCCAGCTGCTCCCAGCTCCTGCTCCCTAGGGGCCTCTTTCAGAGGTGGGACTTCCCTCAGAACTCTGCCCCCAGCAGTCAGTGGGCCAAAGAACTGTGTCCACTGAAAGGGCTGGCCCGGAGGGGGGGGGACAGGGGCGAGAGTTGGTGGACGCTGGCCTCCCAGGCACACCTGCAGGACACAGCCAGCAGGAGGCCCTTGTGCACATACCCACATAATCTGTGCACATGTTCACACCTGAGCACATGCTCACACAGGTGCATACACCTGTGCAATACAGCTGTTCATACACTATCATGCATGTGCACACACACGCATACACAACTGCACCCGTGCATGGGCACACATGCCCATGAACAGTTCTTACAAACATATATGCACACACCCGTGCATAAATGTGTATGTGCACACAGCTGTGCCTGCACTCATGCACGTGCACTCACACACCTATGCACACATGCAAACACAACTGCATACACAGGCATGCTCACACACTCATGCCCCCATTTACACACACAGAGCTGTGCATAAACTCAAGCACATGCACTCACACTTGTGCTCACGGACAGCCGTGCATAAACACACACATGCACTCACACCTGTGCAAACGAACAGCTGTGCATAAACTCAAGCACATGCACTCACACTTGCTCTCACGGACAGCTGTGCATAAACACGCAAATGCACCTTCACACCTGTGCACATGGACAGCTGTGCATAAACTCACGCACGTGCACTCACACCTGTGCACATGGACAGCTGTGCATAAACTCACGCACTTGCACTCACACCTGTGCACATGGACAGCTGTGCATAAACTCACGCACGTGCACTCACACCTGTGCACATGGACAGCTGTGCATAAACTCACGCACGTGCACTCACACCTGTGCACATGGACAGCTGTGCATAAACTCACGCACATGCACCTTCACACCTGTGCACATGGACAGCTGTGCATAAACTCACGCACATGCACTCACACTTGCTCTCACGGACAGCTGTGCATAAACACGCAAATGCACCTTCACACCTGTGCACATGGACAGCTGTGCATAAACTCACGCACGTGCACTCACACCTGTGCACATGGACAGCTGTGCATAAACTCACGCACGTGCACTCACACCTGTGCTCACGAACAGCTGTGCATAAACTCACGCATGTGCACTCACACCTGTGCTCACGAACAGCTGTGCATAAACTCACGCACGTGCACTCACACCTGTGCTCACGAACAGCTGTGCATAAACTCACGCATGTGCACTCACACCTGTGCACATGGACAGCTGTGCATAAACTCACGCAGGTGCGCTCACACCTGTGCTCACGAACAGCTGTGCATAAACTCACGCAGGTGCACTCACACCTGTGCTCACGAACAGCTGTGCATAAACTCACGCACGTGCACTCACACCTGTGCTCACGAACAGCTGTGCATAAACTCACGCATGTGCACTCACACCTGTGCACATGGACAGCTGTGCATAAACTCACGCAGGTGCACTCACACCTGTGCTCACGAACAGCTGTGCATAAACTCACGCACGTGTACAGCCCGCACACTCAGGACCCCCTTCCCAGGGAGGTGGCATGGAGATGGAACCTGCACCCCTGGGGACCCTGGAGTCCGGGCTGCCCCTCGGTAGGCCGCACGCACCGTGAGGCGCCGGGCCGCGTCCACCTCGATCATGCCGCGCAGCAGGCTCTGGCAGTCGGGCGGGATGAAGTGCGGCATGTGGAACACTCCCCGCTTCACCTTCTCCAGCAGCTGCCGCAGGTTGTCATCGTCGAAGGGCAGCGCCCCCTGCCGGTCGGGGACGGGGTCACCTCGGGGGCGGGGGACTGGGGGAGGGGCGGGACAGAGGGGGCGGGACAGAGACGGAGGGGTGAGGGGCGCGCGGGCCGAAGGGGCCGGAGGGGCGGAGGGGCGGAGCAGGGGGCGCGGGGCTCACCACCAGCAGCGCGAACAGGATCACCCCGCAGCTCCACACGTCCGCCTTGCGCCCGTCGTACTTCTCTCCCTGCGGAGGGCGGCTCGGTTGGCTTCGCGGGGAGTGAGGGGCCCAGGCGGAGGGTCTGGGGTCTGCGAGGGCGGGAGTGGGCGGAGGCCCCTTGGACAAGCAGGGACTGGGGGAGCGTGGTAACCACTTACCCGGATCACCTCGGGGCAGGCATAGTGGGGGGACCTGCAGGAAAAGCGGCAGTCAGGGTGCAGGCTCGGGACCCGCCGTCCGCCCCGCCGTGACCCCGGGCTGCCCCAGGACCGCAGCAGGTGCCGCTGACACAGAGGTGCCTCCCGGCTCCCCCAGCACACGCCGCGGGAGGAGACCCCACTGTGGGGCCCTCAGGCCGAGCAGGAGCCTACAGGGACTCTGCTGCTACCCGACCCCCTACTCAGGGGAGACAGGCCTGGGAGTCCAGGGGTTCTGCCACACTCTAGGCTGCCCAGCCGCCCTGGTCCAAGACCGGCATCAGAGGGGGGATCCCCGGCATGGACTGAGGTCCCAGCCCGGCGCACAGAGCAGGAAGCGGGGGCACCGGCCTGCAGCCCAGGCTGTGGGTGCTGGCCGGGGGCCGGGCGCCGGGGGCCGGGGGCCGCCTGGCCGCGAGGCCGCTGGCTCCGACCCCAGGGGCACCGCACTGAGCACCTGCGGGCGCTGCAGGGCCGGCGGCGGCCAGGAGGCGGCGCCCACTCACCCGCAGCTGGTCTCCAGCAGGCTGTCCCCCACCTGCAGCGACGCCATCCCGAAGTCCGCGATCCGGATGTTGTTCTTCTCGTCCAGCAGCAGATTTTCTGGTTTCAGGTCCCTGTGGCTGAAGGCGGGCGGTGGAGGCTGACCGGGGTCCCGCCCCCGAGCCCACCCCCCCAGCACCGGCCAATGGCAGCCCGGCCTGGTGATGTCACCCGCAGCCAATCGGGAGGCGCCCGCCTGCTTGGCGCGTGGTCTGGGCTGGAGGCCAGGCCCCTCAGGTCACACACGTGCGCTCTGGCCCAGGGGCAGGCTCCGCTTTACTCCCTGGGGTCCCTCCCCCAGGGCCCCCCCCACATGCTCTGGGCCCATGCCAGCCTGGGGCCCTCAGTCTGAGGGGCCCAGTTCCCAGGACCCCTGTGAAAGCTTCCTGGTGCCAGAGGGGCCTCAGCAGGGGCGGGGCCTCAACAGGGGCGGGGCCCGGGGGCGGGGCCTCAGCAGGTGCGGGGCCTGGGGGCGGGGTCTCAGCAGGGGCGGGGCCCAGGGCGGGGCCTCAGCAGGGGCGGGGCCCTGAGGGCGGGACGGGGGGGGGCTCGCACCAGATGGAGTGGCTGTGGCAGAAGTCCAGGGCCGAGATGATCTGCCGGAAGAACTTGCGGGCCTCCTTGGGGGTCAGCCTCCCCTTCTTGACCAGGTAGTCGAACAGCTCCCCGCCGGACACATGCTCTAGCACCAGGTATCTGGGGACGGGCGGGCCTCCGGTGGGTGCGCACCCGCGCCTGGCCCACCAGGGGCACCTCGGCGTGCGGCCCGCTCGCCCCTCCCGACAGGCCCACCCCAGGGCAGCCTCTGGAGGGGCCCCCGGCCTGGGAGCAGGCCGGCACCTGGCCCCCACGGAGGGACCATTGGGCCCCAAGGTGAGAGGGACACTGGTTGCAGACCCCCATGGAGCAGGGGGACAAGTCAGGCGGTCCTCACACTGAGGGCTGGAGGGAGGGAGAGGGCAGGAAGGCCTCCCAGGGGATGGTGACTGGGGGACCCGCCCCCAAGAGTGAGTGAGAAGCCTCTGTGTCCGTTCCAGCTGAGCCTCCCCTGGTGGAGGGGGCTGGTTTTTGGGGTGGGGCAGGTGGGGGTGGTCCTGGGACTTGTGGACACCGAAACCTGTGGGGCCTCAGGGGAGCTTGAGTGGGGGGCTGTGCAGAATCCCCGAGGACCTGCTGATGGGCGCCGGAGGGTGGGGGTGCTGGGTGGGCCGCAGTGGCGGGTGGAGGGGAGGTGGACGAGGGGAGGGGACGGCCGGGGCAGGGGAGGGTGCGGGCCAGGGGACCCCAGTCTCCAGAGCTGGCCTCACAGACCTCAAGGTGTCGGTGGGGCCTCGGAGCCTGTCTTTGGAGAGGAGAAGGGGTGGGCAGGGCTGGGCACGGGGCAGAGGCCCCGGGTGGCATCCAGGCTGTGGGGGCTCCTAAGCAGTCTGAAGGGTGCTCCGGCCTGGGAGCTCGCTCTCCTGCCTCCAGGCCCCTGGGCTGCCCTGGGACTTGGGACCCCTGGGAGGGGGCTGGCCTTCATCCTGGGCATCCTGTTCCCATCACTGAGCCTTTGCCCGGGCTGTAGCCCCTCCTGGGCCGTGGTCCTATGCCCTCCCCTGCTTCCTGCTCCCTCCAAGGTGGCCTCCTCAGAGCCAAATGCTCTGCCCCACCCACATGTCCCCGGCCTCAAAAGTATCTCGACAGAAGTGAGAAGTGACCGGTGTCCTACATGTTGTACGTAGAGGTGGACCTGGCCTGCCCAGCACCCCACACTCATGGGACATCACCTGGGCAAAGACACTGCAAGGTGAGCCACCGCCAAGCCAGCGTGGGGGGTTCCCTTGTCTGTGTCCTCAGCACGGTTCTGACCGTGCTCACCAGTGTCAGGGGCGCCCACGCCACAACCGGCCTCCCTGCCACTCAGGCCTATGGTGCTAGTGTCCCTGCCGCTCAGTCCCCACATGGGGCAGCTCCGTCACCCACCCTCAGTTCATCACTGAAACGGGGCCATTCGTGCCATGTTGGACCCTGGCTGGCCCCTGCCCCTGGACCACCCCCCAGCCCACTCCTCCGGGAAGCCCTGTCCCCCAGGGTGGTCAGGCTGGTGGCTCTGTGAGTCCCCATGTCTGGTCAAGGAGCAGACTGCCTGGGGCCACCCGTCCCCTCCCCGGGAGCCACGGCCCCCACTTGGCCACCCCGACGCTCCAGACCCAGCAATACCTACAAATATTTTTTGTTCTCATAGACGTCATGCAGCTTGAGGACGTGCGGGTGTTCAATGAGCTTCAGGATGGCGATCTCCCGCTCCACCTGCCGAGGAGGGGGCGTCACGGCCGGCCGCGGAGACCCCAAGCCTGTGAGCCCTCACCCTGCCCACCGGGAGCTCTGGCTGTCGGGCACGGGCGGCGTGGGCCCAGCCCCTCGGGACACCTCAGTGGGCTCAGCCCAGTACTTTGGGGCTGGGCAGCCTAGCTGCAGAGACTCTGCCTGTGGGATGGTCCGGCCGACACGGCATCACACACAGTCCCACCGGTGCCGGGGCGACCTCCAGGCGCCTCACCCAACTGCACCTGGTCCCTGCTGGCCCTTCAGGGGGATGGGCCCCAGCTACACCCCAGCGACATCTCCAGCCCCTCCCCCACCTCCTCTCTCCCACCCACCTGCCCTGCCCGCCCACTCACCTTCATCAACACAGACTCGCTGAGCTTCTCCCGGTTGACGATTTTGATGGCCACCTTCTGGCACGTGACGCAGTGAATGCCCAGCTTCACGAGGCCTGTGGGGGGGACCTGTCAGACCCGCCCAGGCCACACCCGGGGCCTGGAGCACCCATGGGCGTGCCCACCTGAGAGTGTTCCCGAGGGGGCCGACAAAGAGGAACCCCAGTCCCTCCTGCCCCCGCCCCTCCCCCTCAGCATGCCCAGCTGGACTCCTGCCCGCCCATACTCCCGGGTTGCAGACCAGTCCAGCTCTGCCCCACCCCACAGCCCCTCCCAAGTGGCCTCCTCCAGCCCGTCTCTGAGTCCCTCCCCCAGGCCTTCAGTGGACCAGATGCCCCCCAGCAGGGGAGCCCGGGAGCCCTCAGGTCCAGGAAGCCCCACGAAGCCCCCTCCCCAGCAGGCTCAGCCTCTGCCACTCTGCAGACCCTGGACAGAGGTGCCCAGACACGTGTGCAGTTCGACACCCTCCCCGGAAACCAGGTCAGGCCCAAGGTCATCCAAGGCTGACCCCCCAGCCACCCTGGAGCCCCACTGAGGGTAACAGTCAGATAACTGCTCTCCAGGACCCACAGTCCTGGCCATGGGACCCTTGTCACAGGGGCACAGCTGGTGCCCATGTCCCCCCACCCCCGCCCCTGCCTGCTGGGTACAGCACCAACCTCTCCCACAGCCTCGGGCCCCTGCACCCTGCACTCCAGCCCTGGTTTGGGGGCCCAGGCACTGCCAGGCGAGGGTGGCCTGCTGACCATGGCACTGCCACCTGACCGTGACTCCTGCTGGTCCACGAGCTGCAGAGCATGTCAGGGACCCCTTCCGCCAGCCGAGGGGCACCCACACTGTCCTTCCTGGTTCCAGAAGGGCCCACAGCGCCCCTCCTCCCTCATCACTGCGACCTTGACACCAGCTCACTTTCCCAAATGCTTGGGTTTGTGTCCGACCCGGTTTACGCTGGGGGGAGGGGGCTTCTTACCAATTCACAAAAGCCGCCTGTCATGTGTGCCCCTAATCCATCACAGCCTCCGCCGCCCGGCACCCACCCACCCTCCTTCCCACACACTTCAGGGACGCTCAGCCTCCGCCTGTGGCCCAGAGACGAGGCAGTGTCCTCCAGAGGCGCAGCACCAGGCTCGGAGGGGCGACCAGCACTGTGGGAGCCCCCTGCCTGTGGCCCTGAAGCTCTGGCCTCAGGGAGCAGTTACCCACAGGGTTGCCCACTGAGCCGGCCCCTGCCCAGGAAGGACACACTCCCAGGGCCTCTCACCAGGAGCCCGTGGCCCCCGACTGGGCGGGGGAAGGCCGTTCGCCTCCGTCCATCACAGCCGGGGCCCCACCACCTCCAGGACCACAGGCTGGCCCGACCCAGACCCGGAACAGGCAGGAGCCAGACGGAGTCAGAGGCAGAACATCAGTCCCTAAACAAGGTGGACCGGCCGAGAGGGACCCGGGAACAGGAGGCACAGGCCACTGTCGAGAGGGACAGACCGCTGCAAGTCCTGAGCGCCCAGGACAGACCAGCGGAGGTGTGTTTCTGGAAAGAGATCCCACAAACACCTGAAGGAGCCTGAGAGACCCCCCGGGCACGAGGCAGGGGCGTGGCCTGGGCCAGCTCTGCAGGGCTGCTCATTTAGCAGAACGTGGGGACAACGTCGTGTCCCTGGACAGAGCCGGTGAGTAGTCATGGCTGGTCATCGACTACTGGACAGACGAAAGCGGCAACACCCCCGAAATGCGCGGACCAGGACGGGAGGAGGCACACGCACACACGTGCACACACATGCACATGGCGCGGTCCCTGGAAGGCACACCCCACAGGCATGCGGGGAGTGTCCTGCCTCCAGAGGAGGAAGTGCTGGGCCTCAGGTTGGCCGGGAGTCAGCGGGCAGTGCGGGCCGACCCTCCAGAAGCAGGAGGTTAGCAGATGCCGCCCCGCCGACGGTGACCCCAGCTGTCTGCCGAGCAGAACCAGCACCGGCGCAGTGAGCCGGGTCCCGTGACCACCCGTTTCCAGCCCAGGAAACATGGCTGCTACGTCCCCCGCTGGGGCAGGTCTGCTCAGAAAGGTGGGAGGACAGGGCACAGCGGGCAAGGTGTCCTGGGTGAGCCCCAGGCTGCTGGGCACGGGCCTGTGGGGCCCCGGCGGCCAGGACTAGGGTGTGTCCTGGGATCCTGGCAGCTCTGCCCCTGCCTGCTTTTCATCTACCTGCTGCCTTCCTGCCCTGCAAACTCCTATACACGCCTCAAAGCCCAGCATGGAGGTGCCTGTCCTTGGCGAAGCTTCCCTGCCATCTGGGCAGTAGCTCGGCCCTGGGTGCGCTGGTCCCGCACAGCCCAGGGTCTCCGGGGTGGGGCGTGTGGGTCCCCAGCAGTCCTGGGGGCAGGCAGGGAGCGTCCCCAGGGGGCGGAGGCAGTTCCTGCTGGGGACCCACAGCCTCCCTAATCACCAGCCCTCCAAGTGCTCGGGCTGATTATCCAATTGGTGTTTTATCTCTAATTATTGTCTTCGCAGCAAACACAAGCACCACGGGGAGAGGGAGGTTCCCCTTGTCACTCTGCGGGAGGCCTGGGCAGTCTGCTCCGCGGTGTGCCTGGGGGGTGCCCGAGGCTGCTGGCTGCCGGCCCCCAGCCACGCGGGAGCCCAGGGCACCTGGGAAAGGAGCACGGGAACCTCCCCCGTGAGGACTGGGCAGCGGCTCCTCCAGTCACTGCCCCCCAGAGACAGCTGCTCCCAGCCGCTGCCTGGCCCGGGCCCTCACAGGCGACCCGTGTCCCCAGCACCAGGGCCTGCCCAGGGCACCCCGGCCACCCTTCAACAGGTCTGGGAGGAGGCTCAGAGGCCTGGTGGTCAGTCTGTCCAGCCTGAACCCCTGTGGACCCAGCCTGGTCCCCACCCACCTGGCCCCTCTCCACTCAGGCACTTTTAGCTTCTGGCACCTGCTCCCTGAAGGCTGACCCGTGTCCCGTCCTTCAGAACAGCCTGAAGGGACGTGGTGACTGCAGCACAGTGACCCGGGGCCCCCCGGTGGGGCCGTCTCAGACCACATGCTCAGTGTGTCCACAACGTGCTAGGCATCCAGGTAGACCCGAGAAGGGACCCACAGGTGCCGGGGCCCCCCCGGTGGGGCCGTCTCAGACCACATGCTCAGTGTGTCCACAACGTGCTGGGCATCCAGGTAGACCCGAGAAGGGACCCACAGGTGCCGAGGCCCCTCTGCAGCCGGCAGAGCCCGGCGGGAAGGACCCTGTGGCCATTTCCCATTCAGATCAGATCACGGCCTCTAGACTAGGTGTCCCTGCGTGTCCGCCCTGGGGTCTGGGGCCTCCAGCAAGGCAGGGGAGACCTGGGGCGCCAGGGCCTGACTCACGGCAGAGCACACCTGCCCCTCCTGCCCCTCGTGTCCCTGCCTTGCCGGCCTCTCGGGGGTCAGCTCTCCGGAGCCCTGGAGCTCTGTCCCAACATCCCTCTGGCCTGTGCCCCTCCCACACGCCGCCTCTTGCCACAGACAAGCCCTGTCCCTGCTGCCCAGGGGAGGGGTCACACACTTCAGCGCCACGGGTGACCCGAGAGCAGCCCCCTGAGGGACAGGATGCACGAGTCCCGGCTCTGAGCCCACCGCGCAGCCAGGACCAGTCCGAGTGTCACTGACTCCTGGGACAGTAGACCCACTGTCCTCCCCCACCAACCGCTGTGCCTCTGGGACCACGTGGCCAGCTCCCCAGGGCCACGTGCACAGCTACCAGTGACCCACTTTCCGCCCCTCACAGACCTCACTGTGCGGGTGTTGGGGACAGTTTCTGTGGCCCAGCGCCCCGGACACCTGTCTCTGGGTGCCCACGGAAGGGGAACCCCCACCTCCCTGGTTCTCCTTGGAGGGGGTGGCGGTCATCCGCTGGCTCTTGGGAAAATGAGTCAGCAGAGCTGGCCACCTCCGCCCGGCAGCAAGGTGGGCTCCAGGGAGAAGCCTCCGAGGGCAGGTGGGGAGGCCGGGCCAATCCTCCGCCCCCAGGGCCTCCTGCCGAGCCACCTGGATCCCAGCTCCCAGCCTGCAGGCTGCCCTTGACCACCCTGGGGCCTGAGCTGCCGAGAACTCCCCGCATGGACACAGCCCACTGAGCCCTCATCATGGCCTCACTAAAGTGGGGCCTCACTAACGGGGGCACAGCGTTCCCCACTGGCCAACGGCCCCAAGGGCAGCTCGAAGCAGCAGCCGTGCCTGGGACGGACTGGCTAAGAGCTTCCTCGAGAAGCTGAGCCCCCACCCGCTCCCCAGGGCAGCACCCTGGGTCGGACAGGAGGAAGGGGGCCCAGACCCCAGGGCCTTGGGGAGCCTGCAGTGCTCCCTCTGCACTGCCCCCAGCCTCCCCTCCTAGTCCCCTCTTCCTGCCATCTCGTCAGCCTGCGGCTGCAGAGGCCCCTCCGCAAGGACCCCGGGGACCTGCCGCCTGGCAGTGAGGTCCCCTCCCACACTGCCCCACGGCCGCTCTGTGTGGCCCACGGAGTGTGGCGGGAGGGTGGCCTGTCCTCCCAAGGTCAGACGATGAGGTCATCCTCGGGGTCCTGTGCTCCAGATCTCTGCTCTGAGGACCTGCTGCTGGCTGGAAGGCCATGCCCAGGGAGATGCCCCGGGCAGCCAACAGCCAGGAGTGAGCTCTGGCCCCACCCTGAACCTCGTGAGACCCCTGAGCACAACCACCCAGCTCAGCTGCCGCAGGACCCCTGACCCTCAAGCCACTGAGTCTGGGGCGACTTGTCATTCAGCACCAGGCTGGAATACGCGCACCTCTCCAACTACCAGGCTGCAGAGGACTCTGGACCGGCACCATGTACGAGCTGAGCACTTATGGGGACAGCCAGCCTCACTGGGGGACACAGTCTCGGCGGCAGACCGGTCGGGTGGGCCAGGTGGGTGGTCAGACAAGGCTCCCTGCCCACCCCCAAGTTCTCCCACCTGTGTAAGTGGGGAGACTGACCTCTGCCCCCAGCCCAGCCCTGTCGGGACAGCATGGAGCCGTCTGTGAAACCCGCCTGGAGGAGGGCGCACAGGGCAGGTCTGTCCTG